GATCCTTTATTTAAGGCTTAATTCCTTGAATTAGGTCTCTGTTTCCTACTTGAGTTCCAGAAATTTTGGTTCATTTTTAAAAGATTTGTTGTGGCGATTTGAAAAAAATAAAAAAAATAATAACCAACTATTTACCTTAAAGCTTGATAATAATAATTTAATTTATTAGAAGACGTAAAAGTTTGATCATTTATTTCAATTATTTTTTACTGATAAAGAAGAGGGATTTTGTTATGAAAAGTTTCTTTCTCTCCTTTATCACATACTGTTGCTTATTAAGCTAAGTTACTTCAAGTACATAAATCGGTTTATTCATTTTAACTTTCTCTCCTTACATTTATTTGAAACTTGATTAATTCAGATTAATAAATTTTATTCTCTAGTTTTCGAGTAATTTATTGTAGCTTTCATAAAGATATTTTCGCCATTTATCTTTTGTACTTTGGAATCAAAATTAATATAATACCTTCTTCTCTTCATATAATAATTCAATCATTTCCATTTTAATACCATTTTTAATTTATAGTTATTATATTTTGAATTATTTATGTTACTTAAGAAATTAAAATAATTGGAATATTAAAAATTTTGTTGTTTTTTATTATATTAGAAATACATTTGTATCATTTTTTTTTCCATTCTTCAAATTTTTAGTGAAGGTTCCAAGGAGTGTTGATTTTTTATTTAATTCAATCGATTGATCTATTTTAAAAGATAGATCGATTTTTTAGCAAATTTTTATATTGATTAATATTAGATTCAGTTCAAATAAAATATATTAGAGGATATGGAATAATTTAAATTATCATTTAGGATCCTTTGAATTATGGAAATACATGTTATTTGGCTACTTAATATTACAAATAGAATCTTCATTTTTAATTATGGATAGATTAAATAACGAAAGTTGTGAATAATCTGTGTAATTGATAAAATGAAGCGCAATTAAAAGTAAAAGCCTCACCAAGTTTATATTTTAATAGGATAATATGATTTAATTCCTCCTTTTTAGGAATATTTAGGAAAAGGAAAGTAAATATGATTATCAAATTAATTAAAAAAAATAAAATCATAAAGGTATCTTATCCAAAATGTAAAAGATTATATTGGAATATTCCTTAATCTTTTTATTATAAAGACTATTTGATTTTAAATTGAATATTTATTACAATATTGCAAATCATAAAATTAATTAAGGTATTTATAAAAATGTAGAATTGGGAGATTTTTCAAATTGAAAATCAAAACTTATTTGTTAATATTATTCTATAGAATATTTTATTTCTGAAATAATATAAGATTTTAATATCCTTAATATCGTAATTAATGATTTTAAAAGGAATTAATATACTTCAATTACTATATTTGAAAAATAATTCTCATATTAAATCAATAGTCTCTAAAAAAATCCTACTCCCCCTTAGCTTAGCATATAAAAAGAAAATTTTAAGTATCAGAATTATACATTAAAAAGCAACGCTTTTAAAAGATTCAATTTTATTAATTTTAAAAGAATTATAGAACAAATGTTCTAAATTATTTTTGCTGATAATAAAAAATATCAAATTTCCATTTCTTTCAAAATAAACAACTTTAATCAACCAAAATCTGTTTTGATTGAAAAAAAAAGGTTAATGTGAGATTCTAATAATATTTGACTATCACTTTTGATTAACTTATTAATTTTAAGTTCAAATCATTCCCTTCAATTAAGTGAATTTATTCAAGATTAGCTTAATTATGAATAAGGAGTTTCTGATTTTATTTCAGAAAAAGAAAATAATACTTACTAACTTGGTTTTTATGTGATATAATTGAAAGAGTTATTATAATCAATAAGTAATCATTACTGATTAACACATGCTGAACATCAGTTCTTGAAATAACGAGATTGTCAAAAGGTAAAACAGTTCTACTAAAGCTTTCTTGAAAATGATGTATATTTTTTTATTTCATTTAATTCATTTTTTTTTATATTAAAATGATCACAATCTCCATATTAATAATGATGTCTCAACCTCTAAGGTCAAAATTGGTATCAAAAGAGGATTATAACTTAATAAAAAATAGTAACAAACTAATTTCTACTTAGATTGGTGTCTTTAAAAAGGAAGTTCAGCAATTAGTGATTATAGTGGGGAAAGTTATTTCGGAGGATCTAATGAATTCAAAAAGGATACACTCCTTCAAAATTATTACTAGTTGCCACCTCATTCTTAAGTAATTATTTAGATAAGAGCTATTTTCTCTTCTTGTATATAATCTTTTGAAGTGTAATTGGATGACGCAATATAAACTATTGATTACGGTCTGTTATTTACCTCCTAACCTGTGGATTTGGAGCTTAACTACTTTCACTCCAGTAAGTCGGCATTTTTTTCTTTGTAAGTTACTTAGAAATCAGGCTGTTCTAATCCGAATACCTGGTGGGGTGTTTTTGCAATATAAATCCATGTATCAGATTGTTAAGATGGTAAAGATTATTGTTAACCTGGATCAAATAGTTTATGGACAATCTTAAATTCAAATCTGAATTTCTAACCTACTGATTGGAATTTTTCTTTAGCAAGTTCGTAAAATTAATATATGTTTAAAGGTATAATGAAATATGAAAACTAATTTAGATTTTATAATTTAATTTCTTCGTTATAGTAGTTCTTTTGTGCTTTAAAAATAAGTCCTAGTACCATATCCAACTAAAGTCAAATTGTAATTTAAACTCTTTTTTAAGAATAGTCCTTCATAAATAATTATATCTATAAATAATCTTTAGATAGTGTGGCCAATAAATAATTATTATCAATACTATTAGGATTGCAATATAAATTTTTAATTGATTTATAGTATTGAAATTGATATTCATCATCATAAAAGTGATTTATTGTCTATAGATCTACTTTTAAATGAAAATTTTGGAAATAATGAAGTGAGTATTTTTGATTTCGTTGTATATTATTAAGAATAGAATATTGTTTAACTACCAAGTTTAGGATGCTAAAATCAGATAGGCTAATAATGTATTTCTTGTGAATAAGGTTGGTAATACGATAGTTTGAAATAGAATTGCAGTCCCATTTGTGGTAATAGAATACAACAAGGATATGAAGAATGCGACGATGGAAATGAAATTTCTAATGATGGCTGCAACAACTGTAAATTTTAATGTTCTCTAGATTGTTAAAAATGCTAATTTGGGAAGTGTTTAATATAGTCCAATTCTAATAACCTAAATTAGTTAGATGCTTTATCAAAAATTTAAGATTGTATTCATGCTAAAGGTTATTATTATGACTCCTTATTAAATGATTGTTTATCCATCTGTGGCGATCGAATTATCACATTAGAAGAGGAATGTGATGATGGTAATAGCTTATTAAATGATGGGTGTAGTAATTGTAAATTCATATGCTCTGATAACTGTTTGGATTGTTAATTTGGTAAATGCTATCAATGTCATTAAGGATATAAAATTTAATAATTTAAATGCATTTCAGATTGTGGAGATCAAATAATAAATGTTGATGAAACATGCGATGATGGAAATAATATTAGATTTGATGGATGTCATCAATGTTAAAGCAGTTGCTAATTATAATGTTTATTTTGTTATAATTCTCTCTGTATTTAATGCTTATAAGGTTGGAATTTAATTGAAGGTAAATGTGAATAAAATTGTGGAGATGGACAGGTGGCCTTAATGTCTAATGAATAATGTGATGATCCTAATAATAACAATTGTATTGATTGTTTATTTTAATTCTGCTAAGATAATTGTCAATTTTGTAACTAAAATACGTGTATCACTTGTTTTTTTCCTTTTTAAATGATAAATGGAGTTTGTTTACCCATATGTGGTGATTCCATTGTAACACTTGAATTTGAACAATGCGATGATGGAAATGATATCCCATTTGATGGATGTCACGAATGTCAATATTCATGCTCATATGGATGCTAAGAATGCGAGTATGACAATATTTATAAAGAATGTGAGTAAAATGTTTTTGATTTGGATCTCTAAACTGGTAAGTGCAAAGAAATTAATAAATCAATCAATAATAAATAAGATAATTAAATTGATTAATCACAAGAGAATGGTAGTAATAATTAGATTATTTAATGTAATCCTAATTATGTATTAATTGAAAATGTTTGTGTTAATTTATGTGGAAACGGATAGCTCAATAGCCAGTATGAAGAATGTGATGATGGTAATAATAATGGAGGCGATGGATGTTCTTCTTTGTGCAACCTTGAAAGATTTTTTGAATGTATTAATCACGAAAACTCTTTAACAATATGTTCATTTGTAAAACCTCCTGATTTAAATTTAAATAGACTTTCTGACAAATAAAATCAAACTCAAATTATTGAATTGACTTTTTCTGAATAAGTTAAATTAAATCATCCATCTTTTTTAGAAGAGATTGTAATTTTCAAGATAAATCCATAAGTAACACATGAACTAACCATACTTCCTATATAAAACTTGACAAATTATTTGAATGATCCTGTATACTAGATTATTATTTAGTTTTATCAATCTATAGAAAATCCAATCCTCGAAATCGAAATCTCTAAATTTGCTATATCAAATCAATTTGATATAGAATTACTGAACTTTAATAAGAGTGTAAGTCTTGGAACTCCTTTTGTGATGTCTGCAATAACTAAGCAATAAGTTGTATCAATTGTCAAATTTAATGATGCTATGATTTATTCTATGGTAAGCATTGCAGGTTTAGCTATGGTAACAGGAAATATGGTGATGATTCTCAATCTTTTAGATCTTTTGCAATCTTTGTCATATATTCGCTATATGCAATATTAGTTTCCACCTAATTTAAGATAATTTCTTGAAACTTATACTAAGGTTTCTCTATCACCTATATTAGATTATTTTCAAGTTGATGAATTTATTGCATAATTAAATGGTGGTTTCATACCATATAAAAGAAAAAAGACATAAAAATTAAGCATAAATTTAGATTTTCATTAGGTTTATTTAATGAATGTCAAAAGCTGCTACTTTTCTCTTTTGGCTTCATTTATTACATATCTAATTTGCTCTGTTATAGCATCAAAATTAATAAATTAACAGTTGTTTAAATATTATCATAAGTAAACTTAAAATATAAAATATCTAAAGTAGATCTAGATGTTTCAAACAAAAATTTAATAATAGTGTCAAAAAATAAAAAATGATTATTTCTCTTTTGGAATATTCTAACTCTATTTTACAATACTGCATCAATTTACCTTTAGTACTTTATTATAATTTCCAGATTACTCTTTTGAAACATTATTTGAGACCTTTAATTCTTTGAATGCTGTGATTGCATTATTTGTGATAATTTTCATCTCCTTTTAAGTCCTCTCAATCACATCTTCTCCAATTAAAAATAGGTCAAAGTGGAAATATTTCTTTTAAGGATCTAGATCTTAATTTTGGGCACTTCAATTCAAATCCTTTTAGATATTTAGAGTTAAATTTTACATCTTTGTTATTGTTACCTGCATAAATTATCCAGAAATATAATCGATACTATTATCGATGCAATCATTATGTTTTTTGATATATTTATACAAATTTAGACCATTGACTTCAAATTTCGATTTAGTTAAATTGATGATCAGAGAATCATTTTTAATGGCAATATTTTGTTCATTATTATTATATAGTTTTGATTCAACCAATGATTAACTATTACTATATGGATGGATACATATATTCCTATTCTTGTTTATATTATCAACAAGTTTAGTTGTGGATATGATTGAATATTTTTATAAGGCATATTAAAATTACTTGAAAAAGAAAATTAAATAAGAATAAAAAGAATATCAAAATTATTATGATAATCCACTTTAAAGATTTATATTGATTGAGTAGTAAAATATTGTGAATTGAAAATTTGTTGAATTAAATTTTTTTATTTGTGGTAATTTTATTTAATTAGATTAATTGATTTTCTTGATTTGTCTTGTGTCTGATATTTAATAATGAAATATTATGAAAAATTCTAATAATTCTTCTTAATACTTTTTAATTTAAATTAATTTAACTTAGAGAGTTAATGCTTTAAATCTTAATCAAACTATTGTTAACATTTCTTTATTTTTAAATCATCTAATATCATCATAAATAATAAATTGATAATATATTTAATTATAAATTGGGCATAATTTTTAATTAAATAAATATATTGTAAATAAATTTCGATTTTAAGAAATAAATAGCAACTGTTATCAATAAATATTTGTTAATATTTACAAATTGAGCCAAAAAAAAATTGTTTTGAAATACTATTTTCTTTTATTGAGACTAATTAAAGTAAATGGAATTTAATAATTAATGAGCTTTAGAAAATCTGAAAAGAAAATTCTTTAACTTATTATATAAAAGTTTCCTATAGAGTTGGTTAATCCTCTTGTCTGGTAGTTTTAACATTAAAATTTTTTATAAAGATATTATATCAAGATGATAATTATACCTTATAATTTTTATATTATATTTTAACTATTAATAATGTCTTCTAATCTTCTAATAATAAAATAAAGAATTAGGTGTAAACTTATATTTTAGCTATTGAACTTAAAGAATTTATTTTAATAATACTAATTTATACTTGATTCCNGATCTAGATCTTAATTTTGGGCACTTCAATTCAAATCCTTTTAGATATTTAGAGTTAAATTTTACATCTTTGTTATTGTTACCTGCATAAATTATCCAGAAATATAATCGATACTATTATCGATGCAATCATTATGTTTTTTGATATATTTATACAAATTTAGACCATTGACTTCAAATTTCGATTTAGTTAAATTGATGATCAGAGAATCATTTTTAATGGCAATATTTTGTTCATTATTATTATATAGTTTTGATTCAACCAATGATTAACTATTACTATATGGATGGATACATATATTCCTATTCTTGTTTATATTATCAACAAGTTTAGTTGTGGATATGATTGAATATTTTTATAAGGCATATTAAAATTACTTGAAAAAGAAAATTAAATAAGAATAAAAAGAATATCAAAATTATTATGATAATCCACTTTAAAGATTTATATTGATTGAGTAGTAAAATATTGTGAATTGAAAATTTGTTGAATTAAATTTTTTTATTTGTGGTAATTTTATTTAATTAGATTAATTGATTTTCTTGATTTGTCTTGTGTCTGATATTTAATAATGAAATATTATGAAAAATTCTAATAATTCTTCTTAATACTTTTTAATTTAAATTAATTTAACTTAGAGAGTTAATGCTTTAAATCTTAATCAAACTATTGTTAACATTTCTTTATTTTTAAATCATCTAATATCATCATAAATAATAAATTGATAATATATTTAATTATAAATTGGGCATAATTTTTAATTAAATAAATATATTGTAAATAAATTTCGATTTTAAGAAATAAATAGCAACTGTTATCAATAAATATTTGTTAATATTTACAAATTGAGCCAAAAAAAAATTGTTTTGAAATACTATTTTCTTTTATTGAGACTAATTAAAGTAAATGGAATTTAATAATTAATGAGCTTTAGAAAATCTGAAAAGAAAATTCTTTAACTTATTATATAAAAGTTTCCTATAGAGTTGGTTAATCCTCTTGTCTGGTAGTTTTAACATTAAAATTTTTTATAAAGATATTATATCAAGATGATAATTATACCTTATAATTTTTATATTATATTTTAACTATTAATAATGTCTTCTAATCTTCTAATAATAAAATAAAGAATTAGGTGTAAACTTATATTTTAGCTATTGAACTTAAAGAATTTATTTTAATAATACTAATTTATACTTGATTCCTATACAGAATATTTTAAAAATCTTATTATTTTTTTATTTTTTTATGAAAAAAGAGAGTGAATGTGTGAAAGTTGTGGTTAGAGTGAGGCCTTTTAATTAAAGGGAAAAGGAAAATAATAGTAAACCTTGTGTAAATGTTGATGAAAAATAAAATGTAGTTGAACTGCTAAAGGTTTTATAAAAAAGATAATAAATAGCCTGTCGATAATGAATCGAAACAGTTTTCATATGACTATGTTTTTGGAATGAATGCTAAATAATCTTACATTTACGAAAAGACAGCATTCAATTTAGTAGAATCTGTGATTGATGGCTATAATGGGACAATATTTGCATATGGTTAAACAGGTATTGTGTTTAGTAATTTAAGGATGCGGAAAGACATTTACCATGACTGGAGTTCCTGAAAATGTAACTATTTAATTTTAAGCTTATAGGAAGAACTTAAGGGTATCATCCCAAGAACATTTACCCAAATATAAACAATTATTGACACAAATACAGACACTAAGAAGAAATTCTTGGTTAGATGTTCTTTTCTAGAAATATATAACGAGGAAATTCGAGATTTATTGGGAAAAGATCATAAAGCTAGATTAGAGTTAAAAGAGTCTTAAGGTTGTGTTTCAGCGAAGGACTTAACAATGGTTACAGTAAAAACTGCTTAAGAAATGGATAAATACATGTCACTTGGTTAAAATAATAGATCTGTTGGAGCCACTGCAATGAATGCATAGTCAAGTAGATCCCATTGCATTTTTACAGTGTATGTGGAAAGTTAAATAGTAGATGCTAAAGGGAATGAGTTTATTAGAGTAGGAAAGCTTAATTTAGTGGATTTAGCTGGAAGCGAAAGATAGTCAAAAACTTAAGCCACTGGAGACAGACTTAAGGAAGCAACAAAGATAAATTTATCTCTATCTGCTCTAGGCAATGTGATTTCAGCATTAGTAGATGGAAAAACTTAGCATATTCCTTATAGAGATTCCAAATTAACTCGATTATTATAAGACTCTTTGGGTGGTAATACCAAAACAGTTATGATTACTGCTTTAAGCCCTGCTGATTTTAATTATGATGAAACTCTCTCTAGTTTAAGATATGCATCAAGGGCTAAAATGATTAAGAATCAACCAAAAATCAACGAAGACCCAAAAGATGCTTTGTTAAAATAATAAGCAGATGAAATATAAAAACTAAAGGAATAATTATCTAAATTAAACAAGAATGGAGGAGGAGGAGGATCAGAAAAAGATATTTAAAATAATAGTAGTTCAAACTTTTATGGGAATCTGAAGAAATAATAAGAGATCCTCGAAATCGAAAAGATTAAATCTGACGAAGTTTAGAAAGAACTTGAAAAATTAAAATAAGATAATGAAAGATTAATTAAGGAAAGAAAGGATAAGGAGGAATAAATGTCTAGATAAAAATAAAGAGAGCTTGAATAATTGATAAAAGATAATGAAAACTTACAGAAGGAAAAAGAAAAAGTATTAGAATAAATAGCAGAGAAGGAATAAAAAGCTATTGAAGAATAAAATCTAAGGTAGAAATTATAAGAGTTAATGGCTGCAAAGGAGAAAATGGTTGTGACAGGAGGAAAAGCAAGTGAAGAAGAGAAGAAAAAGTATCGTTTATAGCAAAAGAAGTTGAAATAATAAAGTCAAGAACATGAAAAGTTATTAGAAGAAAGAGAGAAATAAAAGGATGAATTGTATGACATAGAATAGAAATATTAATCAGTTTAAGAAGAAATTGAAGCATTAAGGAAAAAAAATTTAAGATTGAGAAAAGTCTATAAAGAAGCAATGGTAGAAATAAAAGATATTTAAAAAGAAAATGAATAAGATAAGGAAGAATTGCTTGAAAGTATTAGAGCTTTAGAAAGAGAAAATACATTATATTTACGAATTTTATTAACCATGTTTAAAGAGGATGAATTGTTAAGTCTCAAGGGAGATTGTGTTTATGATGAAGATAAGAAAGATTATAAAGTACCTCCTTTTGTCTTTAAATAGAATAAGGTATCATATCCATCTTTGCCATATAAAGAAGGTATTATTAGTTTTTATTTATTAAATAGCCCAGGAGTATATTGAAGAGTTAAAAGATTAAAGACAATTATAAATTAATCCTAAGTAGGATATGCTTGAAATTCCTGCTAGAAACAATAGTAAAATGCGTTCTGAAGAAATCTAATAAAGATCAAGTAGTCAAGGTTTTGATAAATAAAATCGATAATAACAAATGTTGAAACAACAGCAGCAATAAGTTTAAGAATTAGAAAAATTGTATCCAACTTCATAAACACCTTAATTAGAGAAAAAGTAAAAGGTTTAGCTAAGTCCAATTGAAAATAATAAATCTTCACGTCCCCAATCAAATCAACAAAATGATTAAAACATTTTTAAATAATCTCCTTTGAAAAAATAATAAGAACTTCTAATTCCATAAAAACCCACAAGCAAAATTCCTTTGGGAAAACTGCCACCTGATATTGAAAGAAAGAATCATCATTAATGAGAGGAGATTTAATTTGGTATATCTAAATATTAACAATAATATAAATCATCAACCCTTTTAAACAGAAGATTATGGTTAATTTTTCTCAACATACTCCACCTCATTCTTATTTTGGTATTTTTTGGTTTTGTCAATTTTTGTTCTTTTTTATTATTATTAATTATTAATTTAAAATCTTTAATCTAAAGAAAATTTTTAGGCATCTACATTTGCATCAGGATTTTATTATTGTTCAATTACTTAAGGTTGAGATTATTATGGTTACTAATATAATCGTCCAGATTTTTCGTAATTTGGTTGTTTACTATATTGTTATTTATTGTTATTTAATTATTGATAATATTGATTCTAATAAAATCCATTATTTTATTGCCAATATTATGGAGTTTATTGAAATTAATACCCTAAAATAATTATATTAAATATACCAACTTATTATTATTAATAATAAGGCTAATAAGGCTAGTAAGGTTATTAATAATAATATTATTAACCATAAGGAGGTTAGTAGTATCCACCTTAAGATTTTCGATTATTTTTTTTCCTCTCATAAGATGCAACTGAGAAGGAGAATGGGATAGTTTCAAAGACAGAAGAGAGTTCCTTGAATTTCTTTTCAAATCTTTAATTATTTGTTCTTTCTTCTCGATTTTCAAACTATGAAATTATAAAATAACAATACTTCCAATTTATCTAATTAAGGAAATTCTTCAAATAAACTTTTATTTGAGACTTCATTTTAAAATATTTTAGTCATTTTAATACCATTTTCATTAGATAATTCTGTACAATCTATTAAATCATAAACAGATTTCAAAGTTTCATCACTACCTTCCAATTTTTGGATTTGCTTGATGTTTTCAAATAATTTGAATGAAAGATCCTTTATATACAACTAAATGATAAATTAATCTAATACCCATTCTATTGTAAATGTTCCAAACCATTTATTTTCAATTAACCAAAACTTAAAATGGAATTTAGGATTGAATGCAGAAGTTAGCTTAGCCATTCCACTAAAACACATACTATTAATTTCTGTAAAAAATAGATAAACTTCTTATTTCTTATTTGTGAATGCTTCATGTAATCGTTCATTTTTACGAGATGAACTATAATCTGATTAATCATTTACCTAGTCCAAATGCCATACTTCATAGCTCTATGGACATTGTCTTCTCCTTATGTTCTTATAATAAAGAACTTGCATTCTTCTAAATTATTAAATTCATGATTAAGGTTGATTTTTGCCAATGGTGGAAATTTATCTCTAATCTAGTTGATATCATCATAACTTTCTAATGATATGAATGGAGGCTAAGAATCTTAATATGTTATACTTAATCGTTCATCATTTGCTTAAATAAAAATAAAAGATTTAAATAATTTCTGAAATATATTTAATTGATCATCATTATGAAACTAAATCAATCAACAGCTATGTTTATTTTCTCTATTTTTTTCTCTGAATAATTCCATATTATACCATTTGAAGGCAATTGTCTAAAGCTAGGCAAGAAAATTTAAAATATATATTTGAAATCACCAAAAACTTATTTTAAATTTTCTATTATTTCTTCTTTCTCATAGGTAGTTTTTCTGTTTCTATCCATAAATTCAATTGCAGTGAATCCTCTAAGAACTAAGAACCAATTCCACCCTCCAAAACATGCCATCGACCAACTTAATGCAAGTTCAATTATCCATATAGTGGAAAATAAAGAACTTCTTTGATTCTTAAATTCTTCAAAATCTGTGGAAATAATGATATTTAAATTTAATAAAGTAATGAAGGATGTACCTAAGAATATATAAGTGAGAAATAGAACAAAATATCTATGATTTTAGTGGCCAACACAATTATTTATCCAAGGACAATGATGATCCATTTTTAATACACATTTATTACATATACTGCAATGATGGGTTCTTTTAGGTTTTGGTAATTAACACTAATTGCAAAATCCTAAAGTTGATTAATCCAAGATTGCAGATGGATTAGATGTGTTAACCTCTAATTTTGGTGCATAATTAAATCTTAAATATTTTAAATGAGGATTAGCATCATTTTCTATTTAATTTTCAATATTTTCTGTGTCATTTTAAATAGGAATAAAATAATCATTTGTAGTACCTGGAGATACTTAAATTACAAAAGTATAGTTTAGTATTACATTAAAGCCTAAAATCTTAAATAATAGTACCAAATAATAATCCTAAGAGTAGAATTGCAATAGTTAATATTGTATTTGAATAAACCAAATGATATTACATAGCTGTGTCAAATATAAATGAGTAAAGGATTGTTGTAATCAATAAATAGCAAAAAAAGATTAATAATTTACTAAAACATGAGAGTATTCTATTCAAGGAATACTTTTTGTTTATCTTATTTTAATTTGATTAGTAATCTTCTTATAATTGTTACATTAATTTAATAATTATATTTTGTTAATATTTATACTTTTTCTACTATTTATAAATTAATATAACGACTATATTGTGATAAGATTTAAGCTGACATCAGTTGGAAGAATTTAAATATAAGTTTGTTTTATTTAAAAATGGCAGAATCGATTTGACTAGCTGTTCTATGATCTAATATAATTTAAAGAGGTTTAAAATTCTTCAAAAAATATCTTTTGGATGAATAATAAATAAGTTTAAACAAATATGTTAAATATGTTAAATCGTAACAAAATTTCATTTAATACAAATAAAAGATTAATTTACTATCTAGAGAGCCCTACATATGTGACATTTTAAGGTTTATGAATGTTATATCGAGATAATTTGATTTAAATCATCTTAACACAAAACATGTCCACATAATAATTTAACTGTATTTTCTTCATTTAGATGACAAAAACATATGGGACACTCCTCCTCCTTATATGAAGAATCAGTTTAAGTTGTAAGTATGAATTATGGAGTCTCTTCTTCTTCTTCTATAAATGCATTTTAACGAATCAATGTCGGAGGAGGTAACATCAATTCATCTAGATCCATTTCATCATAATTATAACTATCGGTGCCCTCCATCGATTACTTTTGCTTTTTAAATAAGCTTTTTTTTTTTAATTTTTATTAAACATCTTATTTGTGTTCCCATATAAATTGGGAATTCAAGATTTAAAAGTTTATCTAGTCTTATATTGCTTTAAGACACTTAAATTACTTAAGATAATTAATATTCTTGGTTCATGGAAACACAATTCTTATTAAAAAAAATAAAATACTGTTCTTTGATATACCCCAAAATTAATTCTAAATATTACAATCATAAATTCTTCAATTAAATTAAAATAGTTTATAATACTTGATAAATATATGTGGAAACTTATGTTGTTATCTAGTTTGATTATTATTGGTTAATCTGCCCTTTAACCATCAGTATTGAATTTTATGTAAGGATATGCCTTCGGAGTGGGAATGGGAGATGAAGTTCCAGAGATTATGGATTGTGTTTTGGATGTAATATTAGTAAAGCCATAATGGGATATAATATTAAAATAATTCAAATAAGGTGATGCAATTAATATTTGGAATGGTTTGACTGATATATTATTTTCATTTGATCAATTTGTTCAATAATGTGGAAACACAACGATTGGGTTGAATAAAATTTAGAAACACATAAGAAAAATCTTTACTAGTTTAAATATTGGTTATTATTTAGCTCCAAGTTTGTTCAAAAAGATGATTGATAATATGAGTAGAGAGAGTGAGAAAATATCAGAATTATCATGTTAATTTGTAGAATTAATGACGGAATAAGATACATACTAAAGTGGCTATGTAATTGGATAACTGGTTTCTATAGTAATTGAAATTTGACATTATAGCTTGCATTACATAATTAAATATTTATTAATATTATCAAAGAACACAGAATTATCTAATGAAGAAATTTCACGCATTTTTAATCTTCTCTACTTGCAATATGTTTGTATCAATGTGTGGATCTCTTATTACTCCTTTCTTTCCCCCTTATGCTGATAGAAAAGGAATATCATAGACCACTTTGGGATTGATCATTGCTGCTGGTCCCTTAGGTGGATTATTAGCTTCAATTATAATTGCTAAAACTTTGAATCACGTACTATTAAATTACTAATTTATAGAGAAATAGAAACAAATACATTTTAATTGGAGTATTAGGAGAACCTATAAGTTTATTATTTTTTTCCTTGACTGATCTTTTTGACGACAAAATTCCAATTATTATTATTGCTTCAATTGGCAGATTTATTGGAGGAATAGTATAAAAAATATATTATAATAAGGGAACATCTTTATTTTTAACACCATTCTTTGGGTATATTCCTATTTTATACCCTAAAGATGTTGAAAAAAAAGTTAGTATAAGTGAAGCATTTAGTAGCGTAGGATTTTTTGCTGGGCCTGCATTAGGATCTGCTTTGTATGCATTAGGTGGATACTTGACTCCATTTCTTGTTTTTAGTTCATTTGGATTCATTTCATTGCCTTTTTTATATGCAGCATTGTAATCTGTTGGACCAAAAAAATATTAAGTGGAGATTTAAAGATAAATTGAAGAAATTGATGAAAGCAAGAGATTAACTGAATATTAATAAACACTTTTAGGAACTCATTAATTAGATGGTGAAAAACGATTAACATTTTTTACTTTGATTTAACATTACCCAGTAGTTGTTATTTTTTGGGTTATAACCCTAGTAAACATTTGTATGACTTATTTCCAACCTATTTTATCAATCTATTTTACAAAAGTCTATGATTTTGATGAAGGTTAAATAGGTTTCATAATGACAATAGTTTCTTTGGCTTATACTTTGGGATGCTATCTTTGTGGATACAATAAAAACTATAAAAGAGAAGTAATTTAAAAATTATTATAATATTCTAGATGGCATGTATTTGTTTATTTTTCTTTGGCTGTTCCTATTTCTTAGCTGGTCCTGATACTGCTCTCATTTAAATTCCCCATAAACTTTGGATTGCATTAGCTGCTTAGTTTTTATTGGGAGTATTAAGTGGTCCTGCTTATGTTCCTTCATTACCAGTTTTGAATGAATTCTTGTTGTTTCATTATCCAATTTAAACCATCAGGGTTGCTACATATTCGTCTGCTTTGTATAAATAGAATTTATTTTATTTTAGATTGACAAGTGGAATGTTTATTGGTTAATTAACTGGACCTATTATTGCTGGTATTTTTGGAGATAAATATGGATTTGAACGAGCTTGTAGTATTTTGGGAGTCATAATTATTATTACATCCTTTATATATGTTCCAATCATATTTATGAAGTCAAAAAAAGAGAAAAATTAAGTATTATTATCATGATCATTTGTATATAATAATTGACATAAATAATTTAATATTTTTGTTCATTTTTTTGTGTTTTCTTCACTTTAACCTTTCAATTTTTGGCGCTATTAATTTAATGCCAAAATGTGGGGTTTATAGCCCCAGAACCGCAATTTCTGAACATAATAATAATTAATAATAACAAGAGAATGAATAGTAGCAAACTAATAAAAACTTAGTCAGAACAATAAACCAATGGTGAAGATGAATCCACAAGACATTTAAACGATATAATAGGTTTAAAACCTACTTAAATCTAATAACTTCCTTCTTACTCAATCAATTTTAGAAGTCTAAGACAAAGGTATGGATTAATTTAAGATTAATATCCATTACCACTTAAATTTGAATAATTATTATAAACTATGAAAACAATAGAATAGACATATTGGAAAAAGAAAAAGCCAATTATTTATGAAATTAAAACAAATGCATTCAAAATCTTATAAATTGGATAATTATTAAAACTTGATTAAGAACTTTATTAGATTAAAATTGTTGAAAAATCTGTGCAAATCATTCCTAATGATATACCAATAGAAAATTTGCCTTCATTTCAACCTTTTGCTTAATAATTGCCTTCAATCTTTGAAAATCGAATAACTAGTATCAGAAATAAATTAGATAAATTAGTATAATAAGTTCATGAAAAATATTTAGATGTTATAAATCAATCAGATTTTAAAGAACAATCAACAAAATTCAAAGTATATTATCCTACATTTGACTTAAATTTAGTCCCTGACATCATTCCATAATAATTACCATTTTAAATTTATTCAGAAGAACAAAGAATTTAATTGCAACAAATAATTGAGAATACAATTCAATATTTTAATAAGAGAACAGTCTCTTTTATGTTCTATCCAAATCTAATTAATTATTTATTAACAAAAATAGAAATGAATAAAGATCAAATGGAAAAATATATTTAATTTTTGATGAAGGTTTAACCTGATTTTTTATAGATTACAAATTAAAAGAAGGAATAACTAAAAGCAAAATGGATAATCTAAATTAATAAATTAAGTACTGTAGAAAATTAAATTCAATAATTGAAAACTTATTTTTATTGATTTGATAAATGTATATTTCTTTAGTTTTGAACATTTTGTTTTATAATTATATATGTAATTGATCAAAATTATTATGAATAGATAGTTTAAATAAAAATTAAAATAAATTAAAACTATATTTTTTATATGTAAAAGAATATAAAATAAATAAGATTGATTCATAAGGATAGATTTTTTATTACTTTAAGATATTGTTATAAATGTATAAGTGTGAAATTCGAGTGGATTTATTTACATAATATAAATAATTATTTTAAAAATTAGTAAAATTAATGATAAAGAAATAACCAACAAAACAAGCCACTAGGATGTAAACTCAAGCTAATGATTAATAAGAAGTTATAGCAGTAAATTAATTTTATAATGATTAAAGCAAAGTCAGCAAGCAGCTAAATACACTTTAAATTAAATAGTCGGTAATGGAACATTTGGAATGGTTTATTTGGTATATGATATTAATATAGTGTAGGCTACAAACAGTTAGACTAATGAAAAGGTGGCAATTAAAAAAGTGTTTTAGGATAAAAGATATAAGAATAGGGAACACTTGATAATTTAAGAGTTGAATCATCCATGTGTTATAAAATTGAAGGAAGCTTTTTTTACATAAGGAGACAAGGTAAATGTTTATTAATAGGAAAGGGTGATGACGTGTATTTGAATTTGGTAATGGACTACATACCTGATACGTTAAGCAAGGTTATTAGATATTACAAAAAAGCAAAACAACCATTTCCTGCTGTTCTATTAAAAATTTATAGTTACTAGATGTTTAGAGCATTAGCCTATTTAGAAGGTATTAATGATAAATATCAAATAGGGATCGGTATTTGCCATAGAGATATAAAACCATAGAATATTCTTGTAGATCCGAATTCACATGTTTTGAAAATATGTGATTTTGGGTCAGCCAAAAGATTGTAAAAGGGAGAGCCTAATGTGGCCTATATATGTTCACGATATTATAGAGCCCCTGAATTAATATTTGGAGCAACAGAATATAGTACAGCAATAGATACTTGGTCAATTGGTTGTGTGATAGCAGAAATGTTAATTGGAGAACCATTATTTCCTGGAGAAAGTGCCACTGATTAACTTGTAGAGATTATAAAAATATTGGGTACTCCTACTGTTGAATAGGTCAAATAAATGAATCCTATGCATAAGGAATTTAAATTCCCTCAGATTAAAAATCATCCATGGAATAAAGTATGAATTTCAGTTTTAGAATTCAATTTAGGTATTCTAGAAATTCAAACCTGATCCATTATTTGTTGATTTAATATCAAAAATAATGTTATATCCTCCAAGAGAAAGATTGAGACCATTGGAAGCATTGTCTCATCCATTTTTTAATGAAATAAGAGACGAAAAGTTTGGTGTTCCAAATGTAAAATTACCAAACTTTTTTGATTTCACTAAAGGTATAAAACTAATTAGTATTTCATAGAGGAATTGGGAATACAGCCTGAAATAGCATTTAAATTAACTCCATAGTGGTATTAGTAAAAGAGGATATGAACTTAATTATTTTAATAAATGAATCCCATTCGTGTCTATCCACTCAAATTTAATAACCAAGATTCTCTTGCCATTTCTCCTGGTCTCAAAAAGAAGTAACAACCTTCTGAACGTACTCATACTTTACAAATAAAGTAAGAGATGGTTGTATTTTAGTCCATAATAAACACCTTAACAAAGCAGAAGTAATCAAAAAAGACATCCAACCAATGGGTTAACTTCTTAAGAGGAGAAAATAAAGCTTGTATATATATAAATTGCATATGTTCTATTAGGTTACTTAAAAGAAATTATAATTGCTATAGCCATCCAGTTATTCACCTAAAAAGAGAGTAATTAGTAGTAATAATGATAAACCTGAACTTTCTAAATTCTCCTATCAATCAACAGAAGTATTAATGAAATTTTAATTCAAGCCTTAGTCTCCAACCAAATTACCAAATTTAAAAAGAAGCGAATCATCTACAACTACATAAGAAATTTTAGCTAAAATTGACTTGAGCTTGGCTTAAAAGAGAAGCAAACGTACTGATACAAGTAATGCCGACAATACACCTCAAGTATGAATGATAATTTAAGTGTTTAGAACAAGACATCATTTCTTAAAATGTATTAAGATACATCTCCTAAAATTCGTTAAATTTAAAGCAGAGTTAGTTCATAAGCTATAGAACAAGATATCAAAATTAAGCCAAGAATGCCTTCTTAAGTAATAATGTTACATGGAAGATCAACAAGTCAAGCAGCATTAGTAAATTCTAATCCTACAGAGAATGAGGAATAGTAAGATTATGTTTAACTATTTTTATCTAAGTAAAAATGTTATAATAATAAATAATAGATCTCAAGCAGGTCAAAATGGGAATAAGTAAACTAAAACAAATTAAGATTCAGTAATAATCTCGAATAATTTTTGTGGAATGAAAAATAGGTAATGATATATTATTTCTTTTTTTAAAGATATTTATTTTCGGTATGTGATGGACATGGTGTATATGGACATTATGTTTCGTAATTAATAAAAAGAGTATTGCCAACTATAATTGAAGCATAATTGAAAACTTTTATTGGAAAATAAGAAATAGATATAGGTGAAGAATATTACACTGAAGTTGTGAAATGTTTTAACAGTAGTTTTTAAAAGATGACTAAAGATTTAGTAATTTATTTTTAATTATTATTTAAAGTAAAATTGTGGAATTGATATCACTTTTAGTGGTAGTACTTGTTCTACTGTATTTGTTTCTGGTAATAATTTATGGTGCTCGAATATTGGAGATTCAAGATCTGTATTTATATTAATTTTATATTAGATATTTATAGAATAACATAGAGAATCTAATAAATGGAAAATTGTGGAATTGAGTAATGATCATAAACCTGATTTACCTACAGAAAAGAAAAGAATCTTAGCAAGCAAAGGTAGAGTATAACCATTTATAACTGAAAATGGATAAAATATTGGTCCTGCTAGAGTATGGCTTTTACATGAACAAATACCTGGATTAGCTATGAGTAGATCATTTGGAGATTATGTTGCATCTACTGTTGGTGTTATTTCTGAACCAGAAGTTATTTATCATAAATTAAATTAAAAATGTGGATTTTTAGTTGTTGCTAGTGATGGTGTTTGGGAATTCTTGAGTAATGAAGAAATTCAATAAATTATTTGCAGTTATTGGAGTCCATAAATGAATGCTAAGAAAATAGATGAGATGGTTGACAATATAGTTAGAGAGTCAACTAAGAGATGGTAAGAGGAAGATGAAGTAATTGATGATATTTCTATCATTATTGCATATCTCTCATGAATATTATTAAATCAATATAAGAATTTAGAAATTAAAATGAATATTTATTATAAATAAATAAATAATAAAGAATAAGATAGAGATACAGATATGATAATCAGAAATCATAATGGGAATACCATTATGGTTACATTGTCTCTAATATAATCATTTTCGATTGATTAATATAACTATTTGGCAACATTTTTTGATGGGTCAACTTTCTATAAAACTTGTTGAACAACTGTTTCAGAAAGTTCCTAACATTTATAAATAATATTTACATCCCAAAATCCATCACTTGCCATTACTATAAATCTATCATTATCTTTAATTTAATATTTTGTTATTTCAGGTTCACTAATTACAAATTTCTTAAGATGATAATCTCCAAAAGATCTAGTCACAGTTAATTATCCAGAAACTCTACAAATATTTTATCTCTTTGTAATTAAACTATTAATAGAAATTATATCTTACCCTCCTTATTTATGAATTCTTTAATTTTCTTCTTTTGATTGAGGAATATGTATAGAATGTAATTATTGATGAGAATCTTCTCTGAATACTATAGCTTTGCAATCTCCTAAATTTGTAATTGTAACAGTTTTATTTTAAATAGATAATAGAATGGCTACAGATCCTGATTATGTATACTGACTTAAATTACTGTCTATCTCATTAAATACTATTAAATATATAAATCAATTTAATACATTATTTGTAATCTTAATCTGACATCTCATTTTAGATTTTCTATAATAAATTTTAAGTCAAATAATCTGCTACATGGGAAGAACCATGACCATCAAAAATTGCATAATGATTGTTTAAAATCTAGTACTAAAAACATTAGTAAATAAATAATACTCTATCTAACATCTCTCGACGAGATCCTCTATTCATGTAAAGATGATATTTTTCAGTTTATTACTCAAATTCATCAAATTATTCAATCAATTCTTATACTGCAAAGTCTTTATACTCATGATCTATTACGATTTCCAAATCCATCATTAAAATAAGTTATTTTTTTTTATTATAATTAATTAAACAAACATATTTCCATAAATAGTTGGAATATTTAATAGATATATATATTCATTATTATTATTATTATTATTAAAATTGTTGTTTTACTTTTTGATCCTTCATTAATATCCATTATTGAATATATTGCTAATTTTATGTATTCTTTATAATCCAATTATGTTGTAACAAAGTTTATGCATCTAAACGTTTGTTTTAATCTTTATTAAGACTAACTAAATCAATATATCATACCAGATATTCAAAAAGTCTTTCATTTCTATACTATAAGGATGATTATCTAATTTTGGAGAATCAGATTTAAGTATATTTTATATCATTTGAATGTAAGTCATTTATTTGTTTTAAAATGCATAAGGATGTTTACCGGTTGCTAATTCATATATAATCAATCCTAATGACCATATATCAGATGCATAAGAGTAATTCTTTCCTTCAGTTCTTTCTGGAGACCTAGTAAAATAATACAAATCAAATGAATTGCTAGTTACATGTACATTAGAGTGCCAACAAATGTTCTGGCTATTGCAATTGTATTTTCTAATTATTTACTGATTCCAAAATCTGTTAGTTTTATTTATCCTAAACTATTAATGAGAATGTTTTCAGGTTTAATATCTCGATGAAGTTAATGTTTTTATTAGTGTAAATATTATAACCCTAGAAGAATATTGTAAGTTATTGTTGCTATTATTTGTTCATTTATCAATTCAATTAAGTTATTTTTATATATCTATTGAATTATGCTTCTTAAAGATCCTTAATCCATGTATTCTAGCACTAATCTTATAGTTCCTGAATTTTTTGTTTAATGAGATACCTTCCTCGTAATAGGCTCCATAAAATTTTATCAATTATTCGCATTCTATACCATTTAGTAATGTACTAAGATCATTTAGCATCTAATGTCGTTTATCCTTGTCAAAAACGTTGATTATCTTAATATTTAGAATATAAATAAACCTTTAATGCTACTTAACAATTATATGGTATATAGAGTCCTCTACAAACGTAACTTGACACTCCTTAACCAATGACATCTCCAATTTTTATTTATTAATGTGTTATGGCTTCCTTAGTTGTTTTTATTTATTCTCCATTGGTAGATGTTAATCCTTCATTATTAATCTTAATCCCTGCCTTTGGGAATCTTACACTATTATGTCCTCTATGATTTTATATAAATTCAAACATTTCAAAAGTCATTGAACTATTTTATTCAAAATTAACTTCAATATCAAATTCATCTGACATGTAATATAATAATAAATTAAATATACATTATTAATAATTTAAGATCAAGAGACTTACCTTATAAATGATTATTAGTACAAATAATCATTAATTTATTCATTCAAATCCTTTTTTATTTTTTCTTATATCTAATATCAAAATAATCAAAGATAATAAATTTTCAATTTATAAATTACAAATTTTAACAATTTACTTTGATTTTTATATCTTAATATTATCATATATATATATATAAATAGTCTTTTAAAAATGAAATAATTTTATTGAATAATAACAATAAATTTCATCAAATGTCAATTTTTATATATTCTTATAGTTTCTAAGATTTTAACTCTACAAAGTGGACAAACAGAGAGATTCTTACAACATTTTAAACAAGTAGCATTATGTTTACAAGGCAATATCAAACAATCTCTTTCTTTTTCAACACATATTATACAAAGATTATCTCCTTATATTTCATGAACCTTCATCTTATTCTATTAGCATATATATTAATTTGTTGTTCCTATCCTTATAACAGTTTCTTCAACTGATTCTAAATAATACAAATTACTCATTTTTCCTTCTCCAGATAATCTCAACCATGAACTTATATTTAATAATATAAGATACCCATTTGTTGATCCATGATCTTCTAATTAAACACTAGAATCTACTAAATAAAATTTAGCATGTTAATTTGATAGATGATGATCTTCTGGAAATGAAATATCTACAGTAGATTTTCTACCTAATGTAACAGATGGTTTATCTTTATTTAACTAGATAGCAATTGTATCTTCTAAATTTGGTCCTTCTATTACTTATAAAGAAAACTTAAAAAATTAAATAAATAAATTTACTTCAAGTCCTCCATTATCTTTTTAATCAATACTTAATACTTAAAATTAATTGCTTCCCAATTCAATTAACATTCCAGTTTTTAATGTAAGACTTTTAAGAATCTTAATAAATGTTCCTGTTGTACTTCCAACATCTTTTAGAGCAAACTAAAATAATCAATTTACTATACAATATGATCTTGAAATATAATTTCAGCATGAAATCTACTAATGTTCTCCTCTAATATTAATATCTAATTGCTAGAATGTCTTCCTATTTTTGCTCCTGTTTCTCTTACACAATAAAAATTTGATTGTTAACCTTCAATTGGTTATAGTATTAATTGATGTTCAAATTTGTTATTTGTTGTTATTTCCTATTTAAGTGCTTGATCTTCAATTCTAGCAACTTAACTTGTAAATTAATCATTATGATTATTATTATTATTTTCCTAATTTTCTAGTAACATCTACTCAAATTGATAATTTGCATTATTTTTTTAAATAGTAAAATCTTCATCTTATTATCGTTTATTGTTAAGACTTTACTGTTTAAGTTACTTTATATATTCACAATATTCTTTCAACCCATTATTTACCCCTAAAAGTTTATATGTAATAGTACAATTTAATAATTTTCTTCTAAGTATTCTCTAAGTGACTCCTAATTCTTCTTCTAAGTCTTTTTCAGTTAAATCTTCCAATACTGAACCATCTATTGAACTTTCAACTAATTTTACAATGTAATTAATACCGAATTTGGCTTCCATCTATCCAAGACCTATAAATTTCAACCAATTTACTACATCTTAAGTCAACCACTTTTTTGGTTCTTTTGGAATTAATTTATATAGAGAATCATAATCCATTTTAATTTTATTATATATAAATCACTTTTCATACAGTGATTTTAGTATATCAATCAAATACTTTTTTTATTTTATTCCAAATTCAAATATATCAAATCTATCAAAGCACAAAGTAAATAACCAAATACATATAAATATTTAGATCAAATCATTTTAAAAATGCAACAATGACAGTAATGTCATCAATTACTTCATCTTCCATTTACCATGCCTCTTTGGCTGCTTAAACCAATTTATTACAAGCACCTATGCAATCACCTTTCTTGTAATATTCATATACTGTTTCAATAACCCATTCGTTAGATAAAAATCTTTATTAATTAACAACAATACTCCCAAATTCCATCAGAAGCTACTACTAAGAATTTATCTGTAGGCAATAATTAATGCTTAATAATTTCTGGTTCACTAATTACTCCAACTAAACTAGCTACATAATCACCAAAACTTCTAGACATGGCTAATCCAGGTACATCTTCATCAGATTTCCAAACTCTGGCTGGTCCTATAGGATTACCTTCCTCATCACTATAAGCTTGAACTCTGCCTCCTCTTTAAATGATTCGAGCTTATTCTAAAAAACAATCAGGTTTATGATCTTTTGATAATTCAATCACAGATAATTTAGTATCGTATCTTCCTATTATCTATATAATATTAATTCATTAATACAGCTCTACTATCTCCAATATTAGCACAATATAGTATATTCTCAAATGCAATTACTACAACAGTAGTGGCTCCTGAATAAGTGACATCAATTCCAGAATTCAGTAAATCTTCATTTGTTTATTAAAAACTTTATTTAAAAATATTAGTTATTGTTCTATTTTTATATAGTGTAAATTAAATTACTTATCTCTGTCATAATAATATGGAGATTACACTACTTCTTGTTCTATATAAGCAGGTAAAATCTCTTGGACAAATTATGCAACTTAATGTCCATTTGTCCCATGACCATCAGAAACTTAAAGATACCAATCATTTTCCTTAGTTCCAAATTTTTATATTAATTTATAAGAATCTTAATTAGTTTTTGTTTATCCAGTATAAAGCATTCCTGGAATTGATTTTGCATGAGCTTTAGAAATACATAATTAAAGTGTTGTAATATCTGGATTACTAATAGATCGAGGACCTTTAAATAGTTTCTATTTTTATTATTGTTATTATTATTATTATTATTATTATTATAACTAATGATTCTCAGTTTATTTAGATAAATCAAGCAATTTTTAATATTATTTTTAAATTAATTACTAATGATATTGTAATATTTCTTTTGAGGTTTATATTTATCCTATTTTATTATCTGGTCGATCAGCCTTTATTTTTTACAATAGTTATAATGCTGATTATGTTAGATTTTATGAATTCTCTTTTGTTTCAATAATTTTACTATTTTAACGTACATGAGTTTTTTTTAATAAAACTGTGCTAATATCTTTCAAATCTTTTCCACTTGATGGTCTTTGTTTTTTTGAATCTATTTTAACTTAACCAGTGCTATTTCTAAAATAACAAATGCTTTTTACTTTTATGTATTGATAAAAGGACTCCCTTAAATAATTGGAGATTTAACAATTTTTTGTTATTGCTCAATTTCATTTTTTTTTTTTAATAAACTAGCATACAATTTATTAGGTGATATTTAAGGTGCTTTTTATTTCATAATAATACTTAATATTTTTATTATTATTTATTTAATTATCTGTATATAAAATATATCATTTCCTAAGATTTTTTAACTATTCTTTCATTTAGTTAGTACAATTTAAATATTTGGATTTTGGTATATGATCTTGAGATATAGTTCTTTCTAAAAGAGATTGTTATTGAAATGTTAGTAATTTAACTTAATCTAAATTAGTTCCTCCTTCAATCTTTACATTACTAAATCTTTATTAATCTATTTATTATTATGATATAAATACTTTCATTTTCTACTTTATTTTATAAAGTAAATTGATATTTATCAATTAATTTTTAAGTATCTGTTTTTGTCATTGATTTTATGTTTTTATTCTATTCTTCTTCCTCTTTATCTTATTTCCCTTTTGTATCTTATCCTTTATCTTTTTCAAGTGTGATAGATCTCATTCTATCTGTTTTTTAATAAGTTTCTATTCGTTAATTTAATAAAGGAGATTGTAATCTTTCACCCAAAATTTTAGATTATCTTAATTCTTATTTAAATAACACTTCTGATTATCTAAAATCTTTTGTTTTTATGTTCTACATCTCTTAAGATAACTCTTTTGATGTAGTTGATGTTTTTTTAATTAGATTATGTAATTGTTGAATATCCTCATTTTTTAACTTATTTATCTTTGAATTCACACATGTTATTTTATCATCTTAAGACATTAATTTAGCATCAAAATTTTCTTTTAATTTGTCAAAGAGAGTATGCAATAAATTTATACGTTCAGCCAATTCATCTATTCTCTCATATATTATGTTTATTGATCGAATTCTATCCTCTAAATGATTAATCTTTTTATTCATAAATTATTCTTAATGTTCTAATCTTTCTTCAATTGTCTTTAATCGATAATCGTATTGTTCTTTCAATAGCATTCCAAACTAACGACTTATTTATTTTTTTATTATAAATATTTCATATATTACTCCTCATGTCTTGTATGTCTTTCCATTCTAACTGATTTCCATCCTTAAACATCTTCTAATTAAATAGGATTTGCATAATATAATATTTTATTTTTAAATGGCTTCAGAGGAAGAATAATTGGACACAATTGAGAAGTTTCAGAAAGCAGTAAAGTTGACAGCCATTTTAAGATAGAAACCAACATCTGATGAGGAAATGCAACGAGCCTAAAAGGCTTTGATTAAGCCTGTATCAATAAGAAATGCTGAAGATTTTGAGGCTATTGAGAAAGTTATGATAAGAGTTAAGTTCTTTACGAAAGTCAAGTTAAAATATGGACTATTGGTATTTAAAGAAGTCTGCAAACATTTATATTACAAAAGAGCTTAACCCGGTCATACCATAATCAAGGTGAATAATGAAGGAAAGGCTTTCTATGTAATTTTGAGAGGTAGTGTTGGAATTAATATATTTTTGCCAAAAGTCTCTCAAAAAAAAGCAGAATCTAAATCTACTTTTGGTTAGAATGAAATAGAATTTGAGGATGAACCTTTTGAATACTAAGAAGTGAATGTATTATCTGTAGGTGATTCTTTTGGAGAAGTAGCTTTATTAGATCCTAATTCCAAAACAACAGCAACAGTTATTACAAAAGACATATGTGAATTTGCTTGTTTGGACAAAGAACAGTATATTAATATTTTAGGAGTTTTGAATCAAGCAGAAATGAATGAGAAAATGTCTTTTGTTAGAGGTATACATTTTTTACATGGATGGTTTGATAATGACTTGAAAACTTTAAGTTTTCACTTTGAATTAATGTATTATGAAAGGAATGATGTAATTTATAGAGAAAATTCAGTCAATGATGGATATATATACTTTCTAAAGAAAGGAGAGATATCATTATTGAAATTATTTTAGAGATAATAAATATACGTTTGTAACTTATGTGTAGGAGAAATATTTGGAGAGGAAATGTACTTAGGAATTAATAATAGATAGCATACTGCTATATGTAATGTTTAAGATACATAAGTCTATAGATTGGCTAAAAGTGATTTAGATAAAAGAATGTGGTAAATAGAAAATAGAAATTTATTTAAAGAGAGTGTTGAAGTTAGGTGGGAATGGAGAAATTAAAGGTTTGATAATTTAAAGCTTTTTGAAGCAAAGGTTGAATAAGAGGAAAATCTATAAAAATATTTAAAACCAAAAACTGAAGCCATTAATGAAAGACCTTAAATATAATAGTCTCATTCAACAAAGATTTCTTCTTATACTTGTGTAAAACCATTTAATTTTATGGAACCATTAACAGCTGCAGAAGAATTATTTGAAAATAATGGAATTTAATCTAAAATCTTTTAAAATAAAATAAAAGTAAGACAATATAATTCATCAAAATAATCTTTAAGAAATTATACCTATATGAAATAAATGAGTCAAATTGGACTTATTAAATAAAATTAATAACGAAAAGAAAGCCTAAAAAAAACTAAGCGAGTTAATTCGTAATAATTTAAATCATTTTTATAATAAAAATTTCAATCTGAAGAGTAAAATATTTAAAATTAACTTCCTTTCAATTTTATAAATCAAGAGACTCAAAATGAACCAACAGAATAATAATAAATTTAATAAAAAATGACTTCATTTGGATAATCATAATAGAATAGCTTATATGAAGATATAATTTAGTTTGCTGTTTCTTAAAAATAAAAAACACTTATAAAATTACCTTAAGCCAATTCAACAAAATATTCTAGTAAAGAAAATAGCTTTAAAAAGCTTTCTCAAGATCATATACATCATCGTAAATCTCCGTCTAATTTATCATATGAATTCTCGGATGCTAAAGGTAGCTTCTAATATAAAAGGCTTTTTAAGTATTGAATTATTTTTTATTATAATATCTATAAATCAATGATTATAAAGTCTTTCTAATTTTTTTATGTCTCCATCCATTTAATTTAATCTTTTTTCTAATTCTTCTTTTCTAAATTAATTTATATTTTATTTACCTTAATTTTGTTTATTAAGTCATATCTCTTTTATGACTATATTAAGCAAATTCCTTTAATAATTCTTCTTTCTTTTATAAAAGTTGTTACATTATTTTAAATACATCTCCCTTTTTTATTTTTTATTCTTCTTTTTCTTTCTTTTTTCTTCTGATTTCTTCTTCTTCTAATCTTTATTTTTCTAATTTATCATTTTTCATTTTCTCTAAATATTCAGGAACTTTGCCAAAGGTATCTTTTTTAAAGTAATCAATTTATTTAGGTTTTTATCCTGCAGATTTAGGTCGTTTAGGTTTATTTTCTAAATATTATTTGAATTTTTCCATATCAACATTCTATTTAAAATGAAGAGGAATATTTGGTTTTTTTAATGCACAATCATCAGGTTTAATGAGACCTAGAGGAAACATTAATTCATCAGTAACTTCAAAGTTTTTTGGTTTTCCCCATAAAGCATGATGTTTTAAATATCCTTTATGAAGTATTTTGTTGCCATTTATATTATTAATATTAAGAGTTGTATTTTTTGTGTTAAAAGTACTATAAGAAGGAGGAAGATTTCCTGGATGCTAAGACTTATATCTTTTTTAATTTTAACTGGTTTTTTTAGGTTGTTCTTCTATAAGTTATTATTCTTCATTTTGCAATTTGTAAATACATTCTGACATCTAAAATATAATTTATTAATTTTTAGTAATGTGATAACAAATTTGATGTTGATAACAAATAAGATATAAATACATTAATTCTCTCTTTATATTTTTTATAATGTGAAGTCTTTGTTAATATTTTGATGAAGTTTATTAAATTTTAAAAATATATTGATATTTTATATAATTCATTTGTAATAGATTTTTTAAGGAGTATCATCTTCAACCATCAATTAATCCAAAATATTTTTCAAATTTTCTAGATGATATTAATTTTCAACCAATAAATTTTATTAAAATTATAAAGGAGCTTTAGATATCAATCCATACAACTAATTGATAAAATATTTTTTTTTTAATTAACGATCTTAAATTAGGTTCAATATGAACTTTTAAGGTATTTTTATATTACACCTACATAAAATGATTGGTTTATTATTATCAATATATTCTTTTATCAATTCATCTAAACATTCCTTATGATATGAATGAAAACAAGATAATAAAATAGAATTATGTTTAATGTTTTAGGTACAGTTTTAGCATAATATTGCTTTGGTTTGAAATATAGTTTAATCAATAAATAAGTTTGTTTAAAAAATTGATTAACTATGGGTCGTAGTTATACTTAGATCTTCATCATTTTGATTTGAGTCATTTGTTTGGCTAATTTATTATTGGGGTTGGTTTAATTAATTGTTTAAATATTATTATTTCTTAATAGGAATAAATTTTATTTTGGGATTGTTAGTTGGTATTTTTTCTTATTGTTGTTTAGTGTCTTCTGGTTATTAAGTAGTATTTTAAAGACTTTATTAAGTTCTTTTAGAATTATATTGGCATGTAAACAACCCAGTTTTATCTTCTTGCATTATTTCTGTAATAAATTAATTATAATTATTATATTCTATTTTTTATAATAAAGGAAATAATTATCAGAGTGATATTATATTGACAGTTTTATACTTTGATTATAGTTATTCAGCTTAACATTCTTAAACTTCAAAGAGAGGACATGAAAAATTATTAGTAGATATTTTTGTTAAAAAACATGTTTCACAAAATAGGAAGTGTTAACATGGGAACTAAATAACATTCCTTTCTGCTTATTTGCATTAAATACATAAAAATTATTTAATCATTTAAATCTATATTAAAATAAAAGATTACCTTTTATTTAGTTACTGAGGCTTTTGCTAGTTTTTCATTCATTGATGTTTATTTTATAGAAATTTGATATTTTAAATTCTCACATTAATTCATTAATGAATCTTTTTTATTTTATAATAATTCTACTGTTTTTGATAATTTTCTTATTTTTTGTAGATAATCAATACTTAATTCCTCTCTTCTCATAGATGATTTATAACTTTCAAGTTATCTTTAATTATTATAAAATCCAGTTAAATTTGATTCTGCTTATTTTAATTTTTTTTCATTTATAACATCATATTGCTCTTTTATATTTTCAAAACCTAAATCCATTTCTCTTAATTTTATTTGTAATTAGACTAAAGAAGTCTCTTTTTTATCTTATGATTATATCATATTTGAATTTAACTCTTTTGCTAATTCTATTTATTTAAAACTATTTTTTAATTTATCTTTTAACATTTAACTTTCATCTTCCTATTTTTGAAGTTGCATTTACAATTATTAAATGATTGGATCTTACTTTTTAGTAACTATTTGAGCTGTATTGATAACATCTTCATTAGTAGTTTAGAGAACATTAATATTGAAAATACACCAAGGTTCATCAAAATAAAAGTCTTTAACAAGATTTTGGGATTCTGGTATTAAAAGCCAGAATTATTTTTCACCATTATTTTAAATGATTTACAAATAAATTTCAGGATTCTTATCTAGTTTTGATTCACAAAATTCTAATACTTTTGTTTCTTCAAATACTTTTTTTGTTAATTAGAAATTATGTGTAATTGAAATTTATTTGAGTTTATCTTATTTAATTTTAAATGAGAAATCTCTATTCACTTATTCTAATTTATAATTATTATGTAATTTAAAATAAGCCGCTTCCATTTTAGTATGTCCACCTAATAAATTAAATGTTATCTTATCAACTATGGGTATATTTTTAGCTTTAATTTAATTGAATTCAATTTTAGGAATGCCAAGTCTTGGATCTGCAGTAATCACTACATCTTAATGAAATATATTCTCATCGTCTTCTTTCATCATTATCATTTTTTTTGATGTTTTGTTATTAATAAAATGGCTTTTGTAATTCTTGATCAATTCTTATATTTTATCTTATCCTGTTCTTCCTAATGGAATTGAAGACTTTTCTGATAGTGATTTAAATTACATTAGAATCTTTAAAAATTTAAGTCAAGTTCTCCTTTTTACAATTTTATATGTGATAATCTCTTTCCGTTGATAATTCGAATACTTATAAACAAAAGGCGCAAAAATAATATTCACTTTCTAATTAATGAATATTGATACTTTCTTGTTTCACCATGTGTTTTAATTCTTTCATTTATGATATGACATTTTTGTAGATGATTGAGATAATCACAAACTGATGAAAATTTTATTTAATGTTCCTTTTATGGGCAAGTGAATTTCATTTACAGTACAATAATTAATTAAATGATAAGATAAAGATCAGTTAGTCAGAATTCAAAAACCTTAGAGTATGATTAGATAAGAGATATAAAAACATCATAGTTCCATAGAAAGATAGTGGTAATAAGATTTATTATTATTGTAGCCTTTGCATTAAGAAAATAGTATGTTAAAAGATAGATTACACAAAATGAAATTTTAAGTGGAAGACAATTTGTAATTAGTGATAGATGAATTGGATAAAGATTTATAGTTAAAGGCTAAACTTATAGATTTCTAATAGTTATTTGGATTGATAAAGGTGTAAATAAGTAAGGATCATGAGAAAATTGATTCCTTATAAGAATAGATAGAGAGACTTTAATTTAACTTAAATTAAAGTGCTGAATAAAGAGAAGATGAGTGTTAAATGTATTAATAATCTTAAGCTACTTTAAATGAATAGTTATAAAAGGAAAAATAACTATTTCGTAGTGAGAAACTATCGTTAGATGAATAAATCAAAGTACTTACTTATTAGAATTACGAGAAGGAATAGGAATTGGATTAGATGAAGAAATAATTACAATGGGAGTTAGATTAGAATTAGGAACTTATTTAAAAAGTTGAGAGAACAAAGAAGTTAGAATAAGAATTAAAGGATAAATAAGTATAATATGAAACAACGATATAAAAATTAAATTCTTAGATTGAGACTGATAATTAGGTATTTAAGAATGAATTGGAATTATAATAGTAAAAGTTAGAATCAAAATATAGATAAATGATATAGGAAAATAAGTAATTGACTTAATAGGTATCAGAAATGAAATAAAATATTAATCAATTAAAATAATAAAAAGAATCTATGGAAAAAACATTAGAAACAAATAATTAGAAAATGAAGGATATGAAAACTGGAGTTATTTCAGATAAATAATAGATATCAAAAAATGAAAAAACTATTGAAGAATTATAAACAGAATTAACATTTTATAAAAATAAGGTATCATTAGATGAAAAAAGGGAAATCAAATTAAAATAATAATTGACTTAATAAGAAGATCAAATTTAAGAATTATTATAAGTCAAGAATTAATATAATAATTTAAGAAAAGTATTATAATAAGAACATCTTGTTGAAATAGAAAAAATTAATATATAACATAATTAATAACTTAGAAGTTTAAATGAATAAATTTTAATTCAAAGAGTAAAATATGAAAAATTACTTGGTAAAAAAGTAGATATAAAAGAAATTGATCAATATTAATAAAAAGATTTTTAATAATAATATGAAGATCCAATTCATATATAATATGTTGAAAATTTGGAATTGAAAATTGAAAATTAAAATTAACAAATAAAATAATTAGAATAAAATATTATTAATATTAATGAAGAATATAAAAAAGAAATATAATTAATATAAAATTAATTTGCTTAAGAAAAATAAATTCTTATTATTTAATAAAAATAAGATTTATAAAGATAATTAGCAGAATTTGAAGAATTTAAAAATAAATTATTAAGTGATTATAATTATAGAACTTAATTATTAACTTAATAATTTTCCTTTTAATTAGATTAATAAAAATAAGAATAAAAATAATTATAATAGATTATAGATTAATCTAAATTAAGTAGTGATGAAAAGACTAAATTATTAGAAATAGCTTCAGAAGAAATTATGAATTTGAGAAAGAAATATGATCATGATATCTATGAGGAAAGAAATACATAAAGATAAATGAAACATGAATTTGAATCTACTATTTAATAAAATTAATCAGATCATTAAAAATAATTAGATATTCTAAAAAGAGAAATTGAAAATTTAAAATTATCATTATCTGACTATCAAAATAGAGATTAGATATCTAAATAAAAAATATCAGAATTATAAAATGAATAAAAATAAGATAAATTGAATATAAATTAATTAGAATATTAATTAAGTAAAAGATAAAATGAAATTTAAAAATTAAATGAAACTATTAGAGGATTAAATGTTCGCATATCTACATTATTATTAGAAGTAGAAAATACTAAAAAAACATATAATATATTTGCACCTTCTACATCAAATTCATCACATTATAATTTGAAAAAATTAGAATTAGAAATACCAGTAGATTTAAGTTAATAATAAAGACATTCATCTTCCGAATTAAAATTTAAACCTGAACTTTTGATCCAGGAAATTGGTAAAAAGTCTAATAGAAATAGATCATAATAAGGATCTAGGTAATATCAAATAAGATAAATGCCACAAATATGAAAATAATCCTGATTATAAATGCATATAAATATTATATCATTATTATAGTAATTCATAAATAAAATATAGAAGATAAATGCTCAACAACATTATCCCTAATTTATATGTCAATCTCAGTTTCTATTATAACATCAAAAAAAATGAAGTGAGAACTACTGTCATAATAGCTAACATTGATTATGATATAGTTTCATCATAAAATGTAATATTTCTTTGCCAGATTAACATAGTCAATACCCATGGAAATCCTAAACAAATTTATAAATTCATAATTTAACTGCCTATAATACTTGAAGTAGCTAACTCAGTTTTTTTATTCTTAGCAGCAAGAGAAGCATTTAATACATCTATAATAAATAATAATAATATAAAATATACCTTAAATATTTCCTCCCCAACTAGCTATTGTTAATCCAACAAATGCAGGACTTACTGCAAATTATTCAACAAATTCATCAACAACAGTCATTGTAACATTTACAGTAAGAAAACAATAAAATGAAATTATAATAAATGCAAATTCTGGATGTTTTGGAATTGTTAATTTAAATAATATTGTAAAAGGTAATAATATTTTAGATGGTTATTAATCTTATTATTATTATTCTGTATCCTATTAATTTTCTTATCCTATTTCTTTTCCATCTACATCTAAATCTTCTGCTTATTCAGGATGAAAATCAAGAAATTATAATAAAGTTGGAAAATGATGCTTTTAATGTGAGAGTTAAAAATCATCTTTCTATTCCATTTAAACTAATGAATATAATAAATAGGATGGATAAAAAAGTGTAAGAATTAATGCTTCTGTAAGAGAGATCTAATTAAAATATATGTATTTCATTATTACTTCATAATCCCAAAAAACAAAGGTCAAAAATAATAAGGTGAGCAAATATACATAAATATCTCTCATTAATGCTTTTAGATTCATTCTTAAAGCTCTTTTATGATAATAATTAGAAAATAATGACATCAAACCAAAACAAACAGTAAAGTCTTTTTAATACAAATGTATATACCAAATACTCCACTTCCAACTATTGCTCCAAATCCATATCCAATTCTAGATGACTTAAAACATGATAATATATTAGTTGTCAATTCTGGTATAGACATTCCTAGAGCCATCAAAATGCCTGTTCCTGTCTCACTAAGATGCCATTTCGTAGATAAAGACTCAAGACAAGCTAGGTTATTAAAGTAGTACGCATCAAGTATTCATTACTCAAGTATGTCTATCCTGAAAGCACGTAAAAGAATATTGCACTCAATATTATCATTAAAATTTAATTATGGGTCCTCCACCTAATTATATTATCACTAGAAAGTTGATTCGTCATTTCTTTAGAAAATACTTACCATAATAACCTATCACAAAAGGTAATGAAGCAGAAGATTTGGCCTAAGCTGTGGTAATAGAGCTTTCATTTTTAGGCAAAATATGGAGTTGATCATCCATAAACAAAATTAGCCTTAGATCGTTTTGATACTTCTGAAGCTGAGTCCAAAAAATATAGAGCTAAATTGGAAGCCATGAAAATTTAATAAAAAGTTATGAGTACTTTAAAAACACCATTTTATCATTATCATGATAAAGGAAGATATAGAAATGATCTATTTCCTAAAGAATGGACCATTTATCATGGTGTCAAATGAGATTGATAAATTACAAAAATTAGTATATCACATAAACCATTATAATTCTTTAAAACATTTATGTTAACTGTAGTATAAAAAATAAATACATGTCAGAATTCATTTGAAATAACTTTAAAGATTATATAATAATCCAATTATTATTCGATTTTAATCACTATATAATACATAAAATTGAAATTCTTAGTGACAATATTCTTTTCATAATAATAAATTTAATCTAAAAAGATAAAATATAATAAAATTCATATAAATGCTAAATTCTTTATATATGAATTTATAATCATATTTAAATACATTAATGAATAAACCATATTTTTACAATCTATTTACTTTTTCTATGAATTTATATTAGAAAAATGAAATAATTTTATAATAATTTGTATTTTTGATATAAATTTAAAGATTTTATTTCTTTTTTTCATTATTTTTAGTTTTTAAATTTCTATATTCTTCTTAAAGGTCTTCAATATTTAATTTATTTACTTATTATTCTTTTTTTACTATCATTTTTAATAGAATTATATTAAATAAGAATTCTATTTTGTAATATAGATTTAAACAATCTAATTTAATAACAGATATTAAATTTGTATATCTTAATAAAGATTAATATAAAATATTTAAATAATTATCTTGAAATTATAAATTAAATACTATTATAAGAATTATGAAATATTCACTATCTCCTTTCAACAATGCTTTGACAATATGTAATATCCATCAGTTGATGAATTATTTAAGAACAACACTTTATTACATTAAAAGCAAAATTTATAATTTTATCCAAGACTCATTTTATAATGATCTATATCTATAATACAATCTGAATTTTCATGAAAATTTTTCTTACATTTTAAACACCATACTTAATTACACATATCACAACAAAAATAATCTTATCCAAAATACACAAAATCATTCTAACATTCAATATTTGGACAACAAGATTTATATTTTTGTGGTAAATCTTCATAAAGGCTTTTAGGATAAGCTTTTTCCATTTATTATCCACAGATTGGACAATACTCACCTTTTTCTTAAGTGTGGATATATAAACATAAAAAATGAAATTGATGTTAACATGAGGAAAGTATTGCTTTTTAATTTTTTGATTTGGTATCAAAATAAAAGTTACATAATTAACACATATTTTAAGATTATAATTCTTTTACTTTTTGAGGGGATATATTAATTAAAAATGGAGATTAATTTTGTGAATTATTAAGTGATTATTAATTTTCTTGTAATTTTTTTTATGGAGTTGTATTCTAATATGGTTATTAATTTGATAATCGAGGAATATTGAATAATTAAAAATTCTTAATTAAAATGGATCATTACATTATTTAAAAAAAATTCATTAAACTTATCATCTTTCAAAAATGGACTTTCTAAAGACTTATCAATATTATTGTTAAAGGATTATAATTAGTTTATAGCTAATTATAAATCATTTTTGTCTATTAAAATTCTAATATATATAATATTATAAAATATACTATCTTCCCCAAGCTAAGCCAATAATAAAAGCATCCTTTAAAAGTTCTTTTCCTCTAGAACCTGTTTCAATAATTTCCTCTATCATACTAGAGATATTCATTCTTATATTTTATAAAAAGATGATTAATAAATTGTAACAATTAAATAAATAATTTATACAATTTAATATTACTTGTGATAGAATTTCAAGATTAAGTCATTATAAGATTCTAAATTGGAGCAAAAATTAAAGTTTTAATCTTCTTGTCCTTTATTTTTATTAAATTTTTTAATATTACATGATCATTTTAATTTTTCATCAACATCTAAGTTAAATTCATTAAAAATGAATTATTACATTTTAAATATTAAACTTTGATTAACTATTACATAATAATTAAATAGATATTAAAAGATATCTATTGATAATTATATTATATGTAAATTAAATATGTTTCATTCAAAAATAACATAAAAATCATATCTAAAGGTATCATAAATTTGAAACTAATATTTTTGGAATAGTAAATAAGATAAAATATATTGAAATTAGTTGAATTTTTAAATACTATAGAGAAATAAATCAGTTATAAATTGATTTAAATAGTTTACAATAATGATTGTAAATAGATTTAATTTAAATTAAAACATCTAAAATGTATTTATTTTTCTTAAAATAAAATAGAAATCAATAATTTGCTAATTATTAATTTTATTACTAATATATATATATATCTTATTGTTATTCCTACATATATTTATGAAAATTAGAAATATTTCTATCAATACAGGTTTCGTAGCTCAGTTGGTTAGAGCGTCAGTCTAATAAGCTGACGGTCGAGGGTTCGATCCCCTCCGAAACCATTTTTTTTATTAATTTTACATTTATTATTTATATAATTTTTCTTATTTTTCATTTAATATTATCTCTTTCATATTCACTATATATCTAAAATATGATCTAGCTCATCTTTGGATATAATAGTTTATCCTATTAATTATAAGTTAATGTCTCTCTTAAATTATTATTGTAGTTATTTCTGATTAAGATTAGTTCATATTTAACAAAAGTTTTAGAGTAGATTACAATATTAAAAGTATATATATATAAAAATAATTTATATGCTTTAATAAAGGAAAATGATGTATAAATTGTTAAAGTAAATAATTTATAGAATAATAAAAATGATAAATAAATAACTAAATAAGAAATAAATCTTTATTGGATATTAGTATTAAATATGGAAGAATAAGAATACTCTAATCATATTTTAACAAATAAAATAACTATAATTAATTAATTGTGTAATTTCATTAATTATTTTATATAAGTTTATCACTTGATTTATATTATTTCTTTATTATTAAATTTTCACCCAAATCAACAATGTCTGCTCTACTTTATTTTTTTGATGGACTAATAGAAGCTAAACTTTGTGTTTTTTGAAAGGTCTTTCTAAATCTCGAATCATTATTTCTCTTTAGTGCTTAAATAAGCATTTCATTATGAAGAGGAAATCCTTTGTTATTTTTACAAATAGATTCATCAGTTTTATTTGCTGAAACATTCAAGGCTTATTTTAATTTTTATTACATAGGTTTGAGAGTGTTTCTAACATAATGTGTGATTCTTCTTTTCCTTTCATCATTAGCTAATCTATATTAAAAATTATAAATAAAATAATTACTATGTTTATTAACTTGCTATATTATAGATATTGACAAATAATTGATAATATGATGGTTTTCCTTTATATTCACTATTTGATTAATGAATCTTTTTTGGTGCTGGTCTCATTAGATAATGATATTTATTTTGTTTGCATACTTCTTCAATTGATTATCTTCTATGAATATTTTAATTTAGTTTATTTAATTCAAATTTAATTGATGTTTTATCCATCTAATGGAAATTGAATTTTGCTTCAATAGTTTATTCTAAATTGTCTCTAATCAATTAAAAGACATAATTTTGAAATAATTAGGTATCACATATGAGTACTTCACCTTTTTCAGATTAACATATTAAAGAGAAAGGTCTGGAGTCAATATTATTTAATATTTCATATTCTCCAATAATCTCTCCTTCAGATATGATTCCAAGTGTTTAAATTTCATGTTCATTTGTTCTTCTTACTAGAGAATACTATCCTCGAAGTATGAAATAAACACAATGTGCTGGATCACCTTATGAACATACTTTATCCTTATAACAATGTAATTGTTAATAAGAATTAATATAGAATTTCCTTAGTGTAATTGAATAATACTTTCAACTCTTTATATTAAATTTCCTTAAATAAGCAGAAATCATACAATCTACTAATTTCAGAATTCATTTTCCGTTATTCTTATTAGTGAAGATAGGCATGAAAATATTAAAAGTTGAGAGTAGCAACATATGTTTATTTCTTTGCTTTTATTATCAGACCATACCTAATTAGAAATTCTCATTACTATTCATAGATATCTTCTTTTGCCATTAAAAATAGTTGATGTCCAAAATGTTAATACATTTTAATAGATGAAACTTCAACAAATTCTATATCTTTAAAGTTTTCTGGAAGTAAACCAATCGACAAATAGATTCCTAGTTCTCCTTACAAAATGATATAGAACTTCTTTTAATCCTCTGTAATTTAATCAAATCTCTTATAAATTAATTGATTTGGATGTAGTACTTCATATCTCATTTTCTAATAGTACAAATATTAATAATTACACTGCAACAATTTCTTATGATTTCATCATTGTATCCTTAAAAACATTGGAATTATCTAAAATATTTGGACATATAAAACACTTCTACAGGAGTTCTCTCATTTCTATGTTTCTACAATGCTATGATGGCTAACTAAGATTCTATAAATATTGATAATTACTTCATCATAATAATTATCTGGAATTTATTGCATGATTAAAATAAATTAATACAAATATATAAAATAGTCACAAAAGTTATGGTAGCTTTAAAGGTCGATTAGAAAAAAGAGCACTATCATTAGAAGGTAAATCATTGGATGCTAAAGTAGTTTAATGAGGAGATCTATCAAGTTAATGATATTTCAATGATGTTGTATCAAAAGATTACTCATATTTATTAAATCTAATTTATCTTCTTAAGAATTATTTAGTTGGTACTGATTTTTATTATTTCAATTAAAATCTCATTCTTGGTATTTCTTCATCTACTTATTCTAAACTTAATAGACTTATTTATGATTTATTGTGATAATCTTTACTACTTCTCTATGTTATTATAGCTTAAGCTTATTATTTACCATTATTTTAAGCTTTAACTAATAATTTTTATAAATCACTTTCTTTTTATGAGAATTCATCTTCAGATATATCACTTTCATCTAAAATTTACTTAATACTATTATATGATTTAATTTCTAATTAAGTTTACAATCTAACTACTTTTGTTAATTGTCTAATATTCTCTACATCTCTCATTGACATATTTCTAAATAATTGAGGTTATAAACCAGGCACTGTACTTAAAGACATATTATATCTTGGTTATGATAATTTTACATCTAATTGATTTAAAGAAGAATTAGATTTTAATTTGGCATTCATTAATTTATATTAAGCCTTGATGTATAAGTCATATGCATCATCAACTACAGTTTTCTTTTCTTTTGTTATTATTAAATTACGAAAAGCTTCATATTTCTTTTCTGCATCCACTATGTTTTTATCACATAAAATATTAATATATTATTCTCTTCTTATCATATAAGATAAATGAGTTAACATTGCTCCAACACTTAATGGAATATACTTATTTTCAATTGCATTTAATTAAAGTGTATTTTACATTTTAGTCATCATATTTCTAAATGCTTTTAAAGCTGAAGGATTTTCAGTAAATGCTTTAAATTCTTAGTAATTTAATGCCCAATCTCTATCTTAATCTATGTAAGAATAAATAACTTTAAGATCATTCTTACTGACATCAAAACCAAAATGTTTAAACATAAGGAACATTTCTGCAATATCTAAAGTCTTGGAATCATTGTAATCAAAAACCTATATATTTATCACTTAAATCTTTACATTAAATATTTGTTTCAATTCCATTTAAATTCGTCTCTCTTCAGGGTAAAACAAATATTATGGTTTCACTTTATCAAAATACCTATTCTTAAACCATTAATTTTAAGGTAGATTATGAAATTTATTTCTCTTATTTAATTGTTTCATCTCCTCATCATCAAGTTTACCAATGTCAGGAACTTAATTCCAATCAACTTTATACATTTAATAATAATCTTTAAAATTAATATTATCAAATTCTCATCAATAATTAAATCTAGAAATTTATTATCATAAAGTACGCATCTCTCAAATTACATATATACAACTTTAATATTATTATCTCAATTATGATTTAGAATCTTATTAATTAAAAGTTAAGTAGATCATAATTATTAGATAGATTTCAATAAATTCTAGTTAAATTATAATATTGTATATGCATTGCAAATATCAATTGTGGAAATTCCATATTATAAAACCGGTTGTTCCCATAAAGGCAGCCCATCCCCATAGTTCATAGAAACCTCTAAATCCAGCATGATATTATCGAATCACTTATCTGAAAATTGAATAAGTTATTACCTATGTGTGCCATTACAAAATGGAGCATTAGCACTCTATTTGCAATTACACAATTTATAATATCCGGATGTATCAACATTAAATTTAATTGGTCTATTTCTTGTAGCAGATGCATTACACATTCCATCACACCATGGATTTGATTATGAAATACCACAAGAACACCATTAATAAATCTGAAATTTAATCATTAAGTAATCCATACCTTTCCTTTTTAGAGATAACAATTATATGGATAAAAACCAGCAACATATGGGACTGAAGCTGGTCTATACTTACCTTCAGGATATGGTATAGATTCTGGAAGTAAAACAAATTTCTATTCAGGAAAATCAGTAATATCGTCAGGTTTTCTTTCCTTTCTGGCTGTTATAATAAAAATGAAGATGAATTCTTACGTGGTGGAGGAGTAATAATTTCAGGAGGTAATGTGTAAGGGTCTCTAAGATGAGCTTCTCCATGTTAAAGAATTGTAGAGATAGTTCGATATTTAGCTGCCTTCTTTAAGATTTAAGACATCTAAATTAAATTAATTAATGGATTCTGCAATAGGGACATATATTTGTTAAACAATTGATTGTAGTAAACCTGCAACTTTGTAATGTCCAACATGCATAAAGATGGCTTTAGCACCAGCATACTTTTGTGATTAAGAATGCTTTAAACGCTATTGGCCAATCCATAAGACTTTTCACAAAAAATAAGAAGAACAAGAGGATTAGAAAAACAAGTTTAAATTCACAGGTCCACTTAGACCAGGTAAAATATCTGCAAGACTATTTGTTCCTGATCATATAAAAAAACCTGAATGGTATTTAAGTGGATAACCAACAGAGGAAATGAAAAGTAAACTTTAATAAGTGGTTGATTGTAAGACTCCAGAAGATATTCAAAAGATGAGAGATTGTGCAGCTATTGGTATTACTTTATATTCTAATGTTTTGTTAAGGAAGAGGTGCATTAGATGCTGGCCATGCAGCAGTCAAACCTGGAGTGACTACAGATGAAATAGATAAGATAGTTCATAAATACATTATAGATCATGATGCCTATCCATCTCCACTTAATTACAATGGATTTAAAAAGTCCTTATGTACATCTGTTAATGAAGTGATTTGTCATGGTATTCCTGATGATAGACCTTTGGAAAATGGAGACATTGTGAATCTTGATGTTTCTGTTTATTATAAAGGTTTCCACATAGATTTAAATGAAACCTATTTTGTTGGTGAAGTTAGTGAATCATCAAAGTTTCTTGTTGAAAAAGCCTATACTTGTTTATAAAAAGCAATTGAAATATGCAAACCAGGTACAATGTATAGAGATGTTGGAAATATCATTGAGAAATATATATCTGAAAATGGATTGGCTGTAAATAGAACATATTGTGGTCATGGTGTTGGTTAACTATTCCATTGTGCTCCTACGTAATTTTAATTAATATAAAATAGTATCCCACATTATGGTAAGAATAAGGCTCCTGGATTTATGAAACCAGGACATACATTTACAATAGAACCTATGATTAATTAAGGAACTCATTAAGATATTTTATGGACTTTTGATAATTGGACAGCTGTATTTATTTATTATTATTATTAATAATTAGGTTACCGCTGATGGTTAACGTTCTGCTTAATTTGAGCATAGTATTCTAATAACAGAGGGAGGATGTGAAGTATTAACAGCAAGATTACCTACATCACCACCTTTAGATTTTAAAATATGAGAAGTATAATATTATTAGAGTTAAATTTTAATTCTTATCATCTATCTATAATAATAATTATTTATTATAATTATGTCTTCTGAAAATAAGGAAATAATTGAGGATAAAATTTACAAATAACAAGCTCATATAGATTAATTAGCTAGGAAATCTTTTATTATGAGAAAGATAGAATAGCCAAAAGATGAACAAGAATTGTAATTACTTAAAAGAATTGAAAAGTATTTATGACCTTTTTAAAAAGGGCACGCTAGGAAAGAGAAGAAACAAAAATTATTCAATCTAGGTCGATTTCATCTCCTTAATTTTGGTAGGTGTTCATGAAAAGACATTATGATTTAGGTGCTTGGCTTTTATTGGATGTTACCACTAATTTTGCATTGTAATAAAATTATCTTAAAATTGATTAGATATTTCTTTGACACTATTAGAGTCAGAACATAAGCATATAATAAATATATGGATATATCTCATTTCAATTAAAATAATGTCAAAAATCTTCCTATATATTCTGGACTTCATTATAAATTATCCTATATAATTCTAAGTGATATTTTGAGAAGTTTTACTAATTAGGTTAGATATCAATTATTTATGGATCCCTCTTCTTAATTTTCTGTAATTTATTATTGCTATTATTTTTAGAACTACAATTAATTAACTAAAATATTGATACATGGATTAATTGCTGAAACTACCATCACAACATTATTATTACCAATAGAAATAAGAAAGATGATAGTTCAAATGGGTTCTTTTGATGCAAACTTAAATCATTACATAAAATCTTATATGAGATGCTATTTCCCAGCTTTAATTAGAGATTCGCTATTTTTTGTAAGTCACTCACTTACATATAATTTACTTATGTATGGAGATCATTATGTATCTGCACTATTCAGATCTGGTGAATTTACTCCACCACCTGTAATAATAATTTATCATATTTGTTTATAGACAATTTTGAGAGGTGAAAGAGAAAGGAAGTTTACTTGCATATTAGGATCTTTAGGATTGTCCATTTTACTCACAAATCCATTTGATGTATTGGTCACTAAATTGGCTACTTAAAGAAATGTATTGATTTATTATAAAATTTAGGAAGCATACACTAATCCATTTTAAGCATTCAAATTCATAATTTCTTAGGAAGGATGGTCTAAGCTTATTGCAAGTGCCATATCTTAAAGAATTGGTTTCTACTTCCTAAAAGGACTAGTGTTCTTTAGTTATTAGGATCGTGTATATTCTATGTTCCATGATGCATTTAATTATGAGTGACTGTCTATATCAGCTAAAACATATACAAAATAGTATTACAGCCTGTTTGCCCGAGCTGGTTAAGGGGGCAGACTTAAGATCTGCTGGAGCCTACTCCGCGTCGGTTCGAATCCGACAGCAGGCAATTTTTTTTATTTTTTTTATTAACGAAAAATATGTAAAATTTGAAATTCATTAATAATGAACTAGAATCCTAGCTTAAGGCTTCTCATCTTGAAACAAGATAATTGAAATAGGAAATCATAAAAATTAATCAACTCAATGCTTAATTAAAAGAGTAATTGCATTAAAATAATATTTCATCTGAAATAGAGGATTAATATAAGTAATCACTAATTGAAAATAAAATGCTTAAAAAAGAATTAGAATTTTAGTATGTTATTTATTTATAATCATTTAGTTAGTTATAAGAATAATCAAAAGTAGATTAGATAGCATCAAAACCTTCTTATGAATAATTAGAAAAAGAACTTAATGATTTACAAATGTTTTTTAAAAAATACTACAATCTTCAAGAAACGTATGAAATTATTAATTAACAACTTTAGACTAATGAATAAAATACCCATTTAATTACTAAAAGAATGTTGGTAAGCTATTAATTAAACATTTAAATCACATTTCAATATTCATCAAACAATTTAAAATATATAAGAAGAAGTATCTTTATTAGAGTAGGATTATAAATAAATATTACATACAAATAAAGACAATGATTCAGAAATTCAATACTTAGCAAAATGTAAATATGAAAATAAATAAATTAGAAAATATAATTGTAGAAAGAAGAGTTGAAATAGAAAAATGTAGAAAAGAAATCTAAATAAAATTATAAGAAACTAAAAAAATGGAATAAGAGTTGGATGAATTATAAAAAGAATTTGATTATATATGTAAAATAGAACAGAGAAGATATAATTAATAAATAGAAATTGAAAAATAATTAGTTTAAGTTAGATAAAAAACTACATAACCAGTTATTGAATAAAAAGCATCAGTTTTACCTGTCTAAAGAAGTAGATAGCATTCTGATTATTTCAGACCAAATTAAATATCTATTGATTCTTAATAATCAATTAAACCTTTAATATTTAGAGCACCTAAACATAGTGTAGTGTAATAAGAATCTGAAAAAACTAATCTAGAAAAAACTATAGATTAAACAAGATAAAAACTAAGTAGATAATTAAGTTTAGCATCTAACTTACGTGAATCCACAAAATGATATCATTATTTATAAATTGAAAACTCTCATTTTATTTCTTAAAGTGTTAAAATTATAATTTAAATTAATTTATTATCAAAAGTAACTGAATATAAATATGACAATCTTAATATAAACTATAAAAGTAGATGGTTTGAAAAAGAATGAAAAAATTAAAGGATTAATTTTTAAATAATTGAATTATCTGATATTCTCTATTGATTGAATGATATGATATGATAATTCTTTGTTAAGAAATGAATTTGAATAAGTTTATAAAGTAATGCTATTTCACACTTTGGAAAGTAAATTAATTTTATTGCTTATATAATTAATTTAAGAAGAATATGGTTCAAATGTACATATCAAATTAAGTATAAAACTTATTTGATAAAATTTTAAAAGTATTAATATAATAGATCATTAATTAATAAAGATTGGTGTTATTAATAAAGATTATAATTAATAAAAATGGTATATTCTAAGAATAAAAAATGTAGAAATCTTTATAAATGAAGATTAAATAGGTGAAAGAATATTAAAGTGTCTAATAGTATTAAATAGTCAAAATTGAGATCTAATTAAAAGAATAAAAAATAAAGAAACTTAATCTGAAGAGATTAAAAAAAAATAAGAATGAAAAGTCTATAAGGTAGGTGAAATTGAAATCAAATATTCAATTCATCAATAAAATTGACAAGTTAATAATGAAAAAAATAATATTGTTAACATATAGTTTCATTATTTCTTCTTATTCGAACCAATCAATTTTTATGCTTTCAACACTAATTATTTATGATAGTCTATAAGAGCACTAGTAGATAATTTAGATATTGGAGTATTCTTGGTTCTTTTCTTTTCGCAGTCTCCATTAAACGAATACAGTAAATAACGACTATTTGTTGACAGTGTACGTGTAGGAGATTTTGGAGATGTGTCTACTTTTGAAATATGACTTTATCGTCTTGATATGTAGGGATTATGTAAAGGTTTTTAAAACCTTGTAGGCTTATTACCTAAATGTGGTTATGATAAGACTCTTGTTCTATTTTATTAGAAACTATTTGAGATTGGATGTTTTTGATCTAGGAATTAAGTTAAATAAGTCTTGATTTGATTTGATTGTTACCTCCATATTTTTAGGGTTTTGCATGCTCATTATAATCAGTTATTATAGTCGACTACGTTCATCTTAATAGTATGATTTGTTAGTGCTACTTGTGTTTGCTTAAGTTGATTACTTTGTCTCACGATCTGTCCTCATTTTGGCAGATTTAATCATTACATAGTGCTCTTTGGTTGTAATTAACATATAATATATTGCATATTTAAATTTATTCATGAGATGTTTGAAACAGTACCATTTGATATTTTATTCTGTATTTTTGAAATATAAGTACATCAGTTATATTTTGTACAAAAAGATCAATGCATATATATATTTTATCTAATTTTGAAATTGATTCTAATTTAACAAAGATGTAATTAAATAAAACTATTTTTACTGATGAAAGAATAGAAAATGTTTACAATCATTTTAAAACTATAGAAATAAAATATACTTTCAAATATTTATTACTAAATTCATCAAGACCAAATTAATTGAGCAATACATGTATAAGGATTAGTTTCAATTGTTGGTAAACTCCCTCTTTCAATTTAATATTTTTGTATTATTGGATTACCCTTTAAATTTAGTTAAATATTTTTAGCTCCTTTTTTATTAAGAATATCAATTATTTACTCAAATTCATTTAAATCACACAAACCAAGTTGATTATTAGATAAATTTAGAATTTATAAGTATTATACATTTATTGATTATAGCAAATGATTCAAAACTTTATCAGATAATTAAGAATTCGTAATTGTAATATCAATTAAAGGAACATCTTTTAAATCATCCTCTGCATTATAATTTTCAATAACACTATTATCAATATGAATTGCTTCAAATTCACCTAATGAAAAGTAAATATCATCAAAGTTATTAAAAATTCCTTTCTTATGAAAATAATCAGATTGCTCTTATTCATTCATTTCAAAATAGTCATCTTCTATCAGTGCTGTCTATATGTCACCTATTCTTATACCTATTCCAATTAATTATTAAATATCTCCAAATTCAGGATGTTGACTATTTTCAATTATAATTTTTTTTTCCATTTATAATTACATTTAATAAAATATGTTATAAGAATTCTTTAAAGATAAAAATACATTAATTTTTATTAAATTATATAAATATTTAATTAGGAAATATAAACATAAACTTAATTCATAATATATTTGATTAGAATTAACTACAATGTAGGTATTATTATATAAAAAAAATAAAATAATTTATTTAAAATCTAATTAATTATTCTTGTATACAAACTTAATTTTTGTTTTAAAATCATTTTGATTTTATTTAATTCTTATATTTCATTCCTAATCTAAAGTATACAGTTAAATGTATTCCTAGTTTATAAGTAAGAATTTAGAAATATAATAATTTATTATATATTCATCTAATTTCTTCGAGATATCTATTTCTAAATAAATATTTATAATGATAAAAAATGGAAGTTATCATTTATCATTTTGATAAAAGACAAATTAATATAAAATACATAAAAAATATTATTCTCTTATTCTTTTCATTTCTTCTTAGATATATTATTCAGTGTTTTTATTTTAATATATCATTAGTCTTTTAAAGAATTATATTAACTATATGCTTTCAAATTTTATATATTTTTTATTTTCTTCATATTTTCAAATGATTTTAAAAATTAATGATATTTTGATTTATATATAGCTAGTTAGATAAATTTATTGGTATTTATTATTCATCTAATTTTAATTATTAACTAAATTAAGAACCAAAATAAATGAAGATAACATATACATAATTAAAGTACACAATAGTATTATTTAAAAATAGTAATCCATTATCTTTTAATATACTAAGTAAATTAAAAAGATAGATGATTCAATTTAGATTTAATAAGTAAGATTTAGGACATAGTCAAAAATGTAATGCTAATTAAAATAATATTTATAATTGAAAAATAATATAAAATAAGGCTAATTTATATTTAAAAGTTCAAAACATTTAGAATCACATAATTTACTAGCTAATTTATTTAGACCAAATATTAAATTCAGATATCACAATAATGACTACTTAATCTAATTAAAATGTTTAAATTTTGATGAAAAAGATCTAAACGATTATAAATAACAGTCATCATTTTTTTCTAAAAACAAGACATTAGAAGAGCAATATTCTCATTAAATTAGAACAAATACTCAAAAATAGAACATATAGGATTTAAATTTTTACTCTAATAAGAAAAATTTTTTTATTTTATAACTATATAAGAAAATCAAAAATATGTTTATTTGGGATAGTAAATATAGAAAAATTTATAAAATGAAGTTTGATTTATTTTTGTAAAAAAATAGAATGTATTCTTTATTCTGTTTATTAATTGTCTGAGTAGCACTTGGAAAATAATTATAAAATGTCATTTTTGTTACCTAAGATAAAATTTTCCATAAATGAAATTATATTTTATACAAGAATATTGTGTAATATTATTAGCCAAAAAAGATGTAGAATATTCTTAAAGGGATAAAATCAAATATTTTATTTTAGATTGATCGATATTCATGAATTAGGAACTAAAATTTATTATTAACTGATTTATCATTAGGAGGAAATTAAAGAATTGATTACATTCGAAAAATAATGGTTAAAATTATAGAAAGTATAGAATACAATAAATTTAGTTAAAAATGAATAAATTGTGTAGAAATATCTCATTAGTGATTCATAATGATACAATAAATAATTATGTTAGTATTTTTGAGTATATAAGAGTGTTTTTAAATCATTTTTTCTCAATAATAATAAATAATAAATATATATGGGATAGAGCTGTTGCAATAAGTAAACAATTGAAGTAAGTAATGAATAAATGACTGAATGGTGCTAAAATATTGAAGGAGTTAAATTTTGTGAAAACCTTGATGATATATTTAACTAACATGATTGTAACTCTAATCAAGCAAGAATACTAAGCTCTTAAATAATATTTACATTTTAATAGTAATTGCCTCCTACATTATCGTAAGAAAGTATAAATTACGATAAAATGAACAGTTTATAAAAAGAAAACTTAGATGAAGAAAGTCCTTCATTTAAGGCATAACAACTTAGATTTTTTAGACAATGATGAATTAGTATGATTTTTAATTAGTTATATTTTGTTCTTTAAAGAATATTGAATTAATATAAGGATTAAATAAGATTTCGTCATATTTGTATATTATTGATTCTTATAAATAATTATTAAATATATTGATAACATTTGAAAAACAGAAAAATATATACAAAATTAATGTTAAAAAGATTAATTCTGTTATAAAATTTGTCTTCATTAAAGATATATTATATATGATGAGGAGATAATGTGTATTTGGAGAAGAAGCATACCAAAAATAAATTTAATCTCATTATTACAGAAAATAGATGATGTTATAATAATTAGAAACTATAAATGTTTTAGATATATAATTATATCTATTTAATATTTCTATTATTTCTCAACATAGAATAAAGATATAGAATTTATATGAGAAATTATAACAAATGTTATATTATTATTATTATTATGTTTCATTTATGAAATAGATATTTTTTATAAATCATAACAACATCACTATTTAACATCTCTTGATTAGTTCCTGATTCTACAAATACTTTAACTTTCCCACTCTTCCCAAAAGCACTTTCAATTTTACCTTAAATATTTCCTTATTTAATAACAATCAATTTTCCAATATAATTAGCAATATTTGTTTCTTTCTTAAATAAATCCTTAATAAGTAAAGTGTAATTATCTATAACCTTTTCTACCTTTCCATTTTTAGTCTTCTTTCTGAAAATTCTTAAATAATTCTATTGAAATATTTATTAACCTGTATAAGAGTGTAGAATATTTCCATAAAATGCAATTCTACATATATTAGCTTCTAAATCAGTATCTAATTTAGAAGCAATAACTAAAGAATTCATAGAAGCAATTAATGGTTTCTCCAATTATAACACACCATATAAATTGTACTTTTCTTGAAATTTTACATAATCTAATAATACTCTTAATTAATATATACCTTCATAATCTTCTAAATATTCTCCTTCGCTATTTATTTCTAATTATAAATTCTTTGGTCTTATTATTAATTTCAATTATCCCATTACAGTCAAATGACCAGAAGTGATATGAAATTTATTCTAAGACTTCAATTATCCTTTATAATAACTAATTTTCTTAAAATCAATAACTATATTTTCTAATAATGATACTATCCCTGGTTAACATACAATTCCTCTTTCAATTTCTTTTGCATCTAAATTAGTAAATAAAGCAGCTATTCTATCTCCAGGTTCTCCCATNTCTTCTTTAGATAAGCTTTTAAGAGTTCAAAGAAATTATTGTTAAAGCCATCAATGTTAGTTATTCAGATTAAAAACCCATAAAATGATTATATATTATATATTTAATGGATAACCTACTCACTGCTCTTATAACTCATTTGATTGATAGCAGTAATCCAGATTATGTTTAAATAATGAGTAACTATGAATGCTTTAGATCCATAATAAATTCCAATATTGACGCATCAGCTAAGGCATTCTAAATTGAGAAATTTCTATAATCTCTTAAACCAGAACAGAGACATACTCATAGAAGTTCTAATTATGATCTTTAACCTCGATCTAAACAATTTAACAGTTCAATAGTGTTAGTAGAAGCAAAGCTTTTTGAAAAGAAATTCCAACAACATACACAAGAAATAGAAGAAATGTTATCAAATCTATGAATATTATTATGTTTCATTTATGAAATAGATATTTTTTATAAATCATAACAACATCACTATTTATCATATCTTAATTCGTTCCTGATTCTACAAATACTTTTACTTTCCCACTCTTCCCAAAAGCACTTTCAATTTTACCTTAAATATTTCCTTATTTAATAACAATCAATTTTCCAATATAATTAGCAATATTTGTTTCTTTCTTAAATAAATCCTTAATAAGTAAAGTGTAATTATCTATAACCTTTTCTACCTTTCCATTTTTAGTCTTCTTTCTGAAAATTCTTAAATAATTCTATTGAAATATTTATTAACCTGTATAAGAGTGTAGAATATTTCCATAAAATGCAATTCTACATATATTAGCTTCTAAATCAGTATCTAATTTAGAAGCAATAACTAAAGAATTCATAGAAGCAATTAATGGTTTCTCCAATTATAACACACCATATAAATTGTACTTTTCTTGAAATTTTACATAATCTAATAATACTCTTAATTAATATATACCTTCATAATCTTCTAAATATTCTCCTTCGCTATTTATTTCTAATTATAAATTCTTTGGTCTTATTATTAATTTCAATTATCCCATTACAGTCAAATGACCAGAAGTGATATGAAATTTATTCTAAGACTTCAATTATCCTTTATAATAACTAATCTTCTTAAAATCAATAACTATATTTTCTAATAATGATACTATCCCTGGTTAACATACAATTCCTCTTTCAATTTCTTTTGCATCTAAATTAGTAAATAAAGCAGCTATTCTATCTCCAGGTTCTCCCATCTAAACTGGTTTTTTAAACATTTGTAAACTTTTGATTTTTTTATTCAAATTTAGCATAGGAAAAAAGACTTCATCATTTGGTTTCATAGATCCTTATATTATAGTACCAGTTGTTACTGTTCCTTATCCTTTTATTTAAAAACAATGATCAATCATAAACAAAAGACCCTTATTTAATTATGCTTATCTATTTGGAATAGTAATATTTTGAAGTAGAATTTTTAATAGATCTTCAATTCCAAGTGCTTAAATAGCTGAAACTGGAACTAATGGAACTTAATTTCCAAACTTTGTTTTAGATAGAACATTAGCAATTATTTTTTTTTATTTATTTATTACTTCATCTGTTGCTAAATCTATTTTGTTCAAGACCACAATTAATTTATCAGCCAAAATCTCACCTATTACTAAACATTCAGCTGTTTAAGTTTAAATGCCTTTAGTCACATCAATTACTAAAAACATCATATCAATTATTTATGCTCCTCCTATAATGGTCTTGATTAATGATGCATGTCCAGGACAATCGACTAATGTAAATTGAAAATATCTTAAATGATTTATTGTGGATACTTTCCCTCTTCATTTGGATTACGAGTGTAAAATGCACTAAATCCAAGATCTAAAGTAATTCCCCTCTCCTAACTCTAAGGGTTCTTATCTAATGAGGCTGTTGATGTTATCTAATATATTGATAAATTAATTACTTTAGACAATGTCTTAACCAAAGATGTCTTGCCAGAATCTATATGTCCTAAGACACCAACATTAATGTTAATGGTATTTTATTTGTTGACTTGTTCTATCTCTTGTTATGAAATGAATAAACTTTATTCCATTTATTAAGTATATAAATAAATCATTAATGATCCTCATGCATAATTTAATATTCCACCTTCCTTTCTTATGTAATACCTTACAACTACAAAGAATACTCAGCAATTGCTTTTTATTTTGTTACAGGATTCTCCCTATCATAATCAGTATCAAATTCTATCTAGGCTTTTTTATATGACACAGGCTAAATTCAAATATATTTAATACTTCTTCAAAGTTCTTAATTGGAAACATACTATCAACAAATCGATGTATTGGTAAGATTTAAAAACTTAATCCAATAATAACACCAAGTGTGGAATAAATATCAAAGTTTTAGTTAAGAAACAAGGAGACTGCTGTATTACCCAAAGGATTAAATAAAAGAACAAATTCAAGCATATTAATCATCTACCATGATAATTCTTAGGATATACTTTCCTTAACTGTTCTTCTTCTCAAAATGTTATACTTATCAACAAGATAAAATAAACTTAAACCAATTAAGGAACTGAATACACCTAATGGGATAGCAGTACCAAAAAAGAAAGTAAACCACATAGTTTTAATTATATCTGCATATCTCATAGCTAATTGATAATCAACTTCTTCCATAATTTCATTTGCTTCCTTTTATGTAAGTAAACAGTCATTAACTTTTTAAGCTTAATGATCTCTTTGTAATTTTCTTATTAAAGTCCAAGGATCAATTAACCAAATTAATGGTGCAATGGCAGCATTCAGAATAAAAATCAGAGTTTCATTATATATGAATCCACCAAAACCATATACATTACTAAATATCAAGATATCAATAACATAACTAACAATTGCAGCATTAACAAATAAGGAAATAGTTAATTTATTAGCATATGAGATTTGAAATTTTGTATTGGTTGATATTCTTTCTATTTTTGTGATCCATTTCATTAAAGGTTCAATGAATAATTTATTAATTAGAACTATAGTTGATGCAATGGCAAATGAAATCATTTAAACATTTTTTAATTTTTCTTTGTCATCAACTCCAATTTTTCTTTTTTCAAGTTCTTCATTGTAAACTAATCGAATACATCTTATTGATAAATAATAAATAATAAAGAATGTAATTCCTTAAACAATAATGTTAATAAAGAATCCTTTGATTCTAGCAACTATTTTATCCTGAGTTAAAGTGGCTAGATTTTCCCATAAAATATCATTAGGTTCAGGTGCTTACTCAATAAATAGTTTTTAAGCTTACCATTACAATTCCATTTCATCTAAACCTGGAGTTTTACCAGAATATAAAAATGTCTTAATTTTATCATATAATGTATGTGTATTTTAACTAAGAACTAAATCTTTCATTTTCTCACTTTCAAAAGAAACAAAAGCTATTCCACTAAATTATCTATTAGTCCAAAAATATTCTTCTTATAAATCTTTTATTCTCTTTTGTGAAATTTCAATTTCAACTTCACTATCTCTGACATCTTAACAATCATATTTCATATTAGATGTTTATAATGCTATCTTTTTCTTCTACAATGTTTTTTAGATTTTTGCCTCTTCTACTAAAATCTCTGTTATATCATAAATTAAAACAACTTTCGTTACTGTTATTTAAAAGTTATTATCTGATACTGCATAATTTTAAAATAAATTTGTCAATTCCCATCGATAATTAACATTCAAAGTTTTTGGAATATTTGTAACTATAATTGTATAATCACTTGGTGTTAATTATGATTCATCTATTTGATTATCTAATTTTTTTTGATGTCTTCTAAATATTTATAATAGAATGATCATTATAATTAACATAATGAGATTGGCCTTTTAGATGAATACAACAACTTCTGAATTGCTAAATTAATATGTATACAATCACTTTAGTTTATTGGCTATAGACAATTTAAGGAACATAGATTCTTGACAATTAGGTTCCATTTATAATGATATTGGATTCAAGGTTTTTTATCTAAATAACTATTAGATTTACTGACAAAATTCACCATTATAATTACTCAAGATATTGAAAAGAGCTACAAGACTTTGCAAACATAATAACAAGATGCAAAATTTCAAAAAATTATAAAATAATGGAAACCCTGCACCTAAAAATTTTAATGATTTGATATCATCACAATATGGTATTTCCTTTCTTTCTATTTCAAAACCACAACAAGGACATGTTTCAGCTGAATAAAAAATCATAAATACGTTTTTTAGGTTCTTCATCATCATCATCATCAAGACGAGCCTTAGTATCAGGAGCAGTTCGTCTAGCCAATGCATGTTTTCTGGCTACATTCCAATCACAAGGCATCTACAATGGGTTATAATCCATTATATATATATCTTAATTAATTTTATGTAAAAATGTTTATAATATACTCTTTTTAACTAATTATTAATATAATTTATGGAAACCGACGAAGTACCAAAACCAAAGAAAGCACCCTATAAATCAAAAAGATACTTCCTAAGTTCATTGAATACTTACTTTGGTTATCAATTAGTACAACTATGTACTCATTTAGATTTAATAACTTCGCAATGATACTGAGCATCCTGAAGATCCAAATCTTATTGTAGGCACCACAATCTTATAAAGCAAATATCCATTACATCCAGCAGTTAGAAAAGTGATTGATGTATCATTATCATTCAATATCAAAATAGCCATCTAAAATGTCATTCTTATAAAAAGTCATCTTAGATAGTGATGTAATAGTTTATGACATTAATACATGTGATCATAGTGAATGTGAATATGCCATTAAAACATTAAAACTGGGTTCTTATGAATAAGAAAAAATTTTGATTCTTGTTTCATCTGTAATGGCATGGTCTGCAACAGATCCAAAAGAAAAAAAAGCTGGAGAAGAAGATGAAGATGGTGGTTATCCTCCAGAATCAGGAGAAGAAGAAGGAAAACCATAAGATGATGCTGAAGATGCTCCTCCTAAAAAAGAATATACACGTTTTAATGAAACTGATTATCCTAAGAGAAAGGCTTTACCTTAATATGAGAGTTTATGCTCTCTAGAAAGTTTATGCTTAAGTATTAATAGACCTAATCTAAAAACATTTATTCTTTGTGCAGGTATATTGTATGGAATGGGAGAAGATCACTTTTATACTAAATTTAAAGGGGCTTGGTTATAAAATACAATTACATTTTATAATAGAAATAAAGTACCATGCATACATGTCAAAGATTTAGCTTTATTTGTTTAAAAGTTGGTTGAAAAACCAGTTAATTAAAAATATATCTTTGCAATTGATCACAATTAAAATCCCTCTCATAAAGCTATTATTGATTCTATATCAAAAGGTGTTGGAAATTAAAAAATATAATAATCTGATGTGGCTATACCTGAATTTTAAATTGATCTTCGTATGAAACCAACTAAAGTATTTGATGCTTTTCTAGAAGAATAAGGAGATCAAGGAGATGAAGAATAAGCAGTTGATAAATTTACATTTAATTGGTGGTGTAAAGAAGGTATAAGAGCTAATATAGCAAAGATAAGATAAGAATTTGTTGATTATCATAACTTAAAACCAATTCGTATTGCAATTACAGGTCCACCTGGAATTGGAAAAAGCACTATTTCAAATTAAATATCTACTTATTTTAGTATTCCTCATATCACCATAAAAGAATTGATATAGGAATATTTAAATTAAACTAGTGAAGAAGTTGAATCATTAAAAGCAAATTTAGAAGAGAATAGAAATTAATTAGTTGAAGAAGCAAAAGCACAATATGATATATAAAGAGAGAAAAGAAAATAATTGAAACAACCTTACATTCCATTTGATGATAGTAAAATTGAAGCAAGATTAACAGATGAATAATTGATTACTATATATAAATGGAGATTAATGTAGAATGATTGTTAGAATAGAGGTTTTATTTTAGATAATTATCCAAAGACATATGCATAAGCTAAATAACTATTCTATAATATTGAAGGAGAAGGAGAAGAATAAAAAGTAACTCTTAATAAATTAATATTACCTGAACATTTTATTGTACTTGGTGGTAGTGATGAATAAATAATTGACAGGATTAAATTCTCAAAAACTCATAAATATGATGAAGAAGTACTTCTTAAAAGATTAAAGAATTATAAAATACTCAATACAAAAAAGGGATATACAATATTGATTGATTTTTATAAGGAATTAAAAGTGGATATATGTGAAATTTCAGTATTCAATAAGTAAACTAATATTTAAGATACATGTAGAAGTTTTATTGAAAGGGTATTATTTAATTTCTTATTTTAGAATGGAAAGTATAAGAATTATAAACACATTGAATAGGATTTAGAAGAGAATAGGTTAAAAGAGAAGAAAGAATAATTATAGAAACAATAAGAACAAAATTAAAAATTGAAAGAGTTAAGAGATAAGAAGGAGGATGAATTGTGGAAGATTTAAGAGGAAGAATATAGGATCAAATAGGAACATAGTGTTAATTATGAGAAAGAATTACTTGAATCAAGATCTCTTCCATTAAGGTATAAGATATATGATTTAATAAATTAGATAATATTTGAATGATAATGTAGTACCATTTATTACAGAAGGTTTAGTAGAGATTGTAAAATAGAATCCAGAAAATGTGATTGACTTTTTGTCTGAATTCTTGTTTAAGAGATCATTACAAGTTAGATTCCCAGATCCCAAATTGTATTTTGAGAATTCTGAGTGATTCGACATCTAATAACAAGAAATCATATATTTATTTTTTATAGTCTTTTTTTCAATTTTAATGAATTCCATTAATTGTCAGTCTAATATTTTTATTCTTTATATTAAGTAGAATATTCTTTTGAATCCATTCTGATGTACTTACCCTCAATTTGTGATGGATATTGTAGACTGTAATTTGAAAATCCTTTATTCAGTATATACAAATCAAGATAATATAATTTTGGATAGACATTAAGGTGTCGATCAATATTTCTAATTTGTTTATAACTATTACAATTATTTTAATTAATTACATTTAAACACTTCTCTTCTCAGAGAATTCACAGTATAGTACAATAACTGGTTTTATAGTAGGAATTTATTTAAAAAATATAGACTCTATCTCGAAAGGATTACAAAGATGAGATGCACCTTATATATGACCACCCTCAAACTCAAATTTATAACGACAATCAAACAATGTTATATCATTCGCATTTTTATACTAAATTATTAATTTATCATTATATACTAAAGTTTCAGGAGTGATATAATTAACAGCATCTTTTTCAAAGTGTTATAATCTATTTGATCCCTCATGCTCATCACAGAAGTTAATTGGAACTCTGAATGAATTAAAAAAATCTTATGTTTCAAATTATCTTTCAGGACTATTAGTTTCACTCGAAATTGAAACACCTCTTCTCAACCATGAATCATCTCCTATTACTATTTTCTTGTTTGGGTTTGATAATTATTGGCTTCGTGTAGGCCTTTATAAAAATAATTCATCTCCAAATCTCTTTGTAGAATGATTAGAATCACAATCAAAGGAATTAAACGAAGCGCAAGTCTTAAATAGTTGCAAGAAATTAGGTATTTCTTATGATGAACTATTATTCATCTTATCTTTGCACTATTTTAGTTTTAATATAAATATAAATATATGTATATATCTCTGTAAAATAAAAATGAAAATATTTTCAAAGTTGTAGTTAATATCATTTTAAATCAAAATATATTACACAAATTTTAATTAGATTTGTCATTTAATAAATGAAATAATTATATATGTTAATCAATAGTAATTATAAACAATCTAATTATTACTTTAAAAATGTTTAGTTTATTTTGGTATATCTGATTAGCCTTAATTTAATTATCTAAATTTGATGTAAATAATTAATTAATTAAATTATGAATATCTATCTCATTAGCTATCTATATATAAATTTGCTTTGTCATTATCCTATTTTAATTTGGATTTACAATCTATTAGAGTTCTTAAATTAATTAATCCAATTTAAAATGTAAAAAACTTTATTTTTTATATTTAGATTATCCATAATATATTAGTATCATAATATTATGTTATATTTTGAATAATTTATATTATGATATCTTTATTTTAGTGGATATATCAATTATTCCTACTGAATATATCTTTAATCGAAATTAGATAACAATGAATAAAATAAAAAACTAAAAAACCTTCTTAAATTAAATTAATCTAAACCATTTGTTCTTGACATAAAAATAATAAAAAAATAAACAATGCTTGTCAATATTCTGAAAGACTCTCTTCATAAAAATTTCTATCTCTATCCAATTAAATTCATTTTAGGGTAATTAAAATAATATAATTTTTATTAACTAATTGTTCCAAAAAGAATTTGTAGTTGAACATGATTAATATCCTTTATATATTAATTATTCTTATATTTATATATTTTTTGTGATTAATTCATATTTATTTTAAAAGTTTATTAAGTAGTAAAATGAATTCTATTTATTTAATTATTGTATATTAATATATAAATACACTTTATTTATTCATTTTCGAAAAGTAATAATTTCAAGAACGATAATCTTGGCATTTACATGCTATATTTTAATAATCACTCAAAGTTTCTTATCCAAGATTAAATCAATCGTTTTAAATTAACCTTTATTATAATTAATGAGTACAAGTAGATATGTAGCAAAGAAGCTTCAGCCATTTATCACTTCTAAGTTAGAACTGACTTAATAACTTGAAAACTTAGAGAAGGAATAAAAGGAAGAGGAAAGACTGAATGATTAATACTTCGATATATTAGGAAGAATGGAAAAAGTAAAAATGAAAATAATCTATAAATTTAGGAATATGAAACTCTTGTTCACATTTTAGAAGATTATAATAGGAGGACAGTTGTAAAATAGAATGGAGATACTGATTAAGATTAAAATTTAGATTCTCGGATTGAAAAAGCAGTTATTGAGACTTTGAATTTATACTTATTAGGAAATAGTAGAAAAGAATAATTAGAAGCATTATAAGAAAGAGAAGTAGCTAAAAAATAATCTGCTTTGAATTTGACTCTTGGGAAGACTGTCATAACAGAATAAAAATAAGTTGAAGATGAGAATGAATTAAATGAAGATGAATATGGTTATTATGNTAATTATCTAAATTTGATGTAAATAATTAATTAATTAAATTATGAATATCTATCTCATTAGCTATCTATATATAAATTTGCTTTGTCATTATCCTATTTTAATTTGGATTTACAATCTATTAGAGTTCTTAAATTAATTAATCCAATTTAAAATGTAAAAAACTTTATTTTTTATATTTAGATTATCCATAATATATTAGTATCATAATATTATGTTATATTTTGAATAATTTATATTATGATATCTTTATTTTAGTGGATATATCAATTATTCCTACTGAATATATCTTTAATCGAAATTAGATAACAATGAATAAAATAAAAAACTAAAAAACCTTCTTAAATTAAATTAATCTAAACCATTTGTTCTTGACATAAAAATAATAAAAAAATAAACAATGCTTGTCAATATTCTGAAAGACTCTCTTCATAAAAATTTCTATCTCTATCCAATTAAATTCATTTTAGGGTAATTAAAATAATATAATTTTTATTAACTAATTGTTCCAAAAAGAATTTGTAGTTGAACATGATTAATATCCTTTATATATTAATTATTCTTATATTTATATATTTTTTGTGATTAATTCATATTTATTTTAAAAGTTTATTAAGTAGTAAAATGAATTCTATTTATTTAATTATTGTATATTAATATATAAATACACTTTATTTATTCATTTTCGAAAAGTAATAATTTCAAGAACGATAATCTTGGCATTTACATGCTATATTTTAATAATCACTCAAAGTTTCTTATCCAAGATTAAATCAATCGTTTTAAATTAACCTTTATTATAATTAATGAGTACAAGTAGATATGTAGCAAAGAAGCTTCAGCCATTTATCACTTCTAAGTTAGAACTGACTTAATAACTTGAAAACTTAGAGAAGGAATAAAAGGAAGAGGAAAGACTGAATGATTAATACTTCGATATATTAGGAAGAATGGAAAAAGTAAAAATGAAAATAATCTATAAATTTAGGAATATGAAACTCTTGTTCACATTTTAGAAGATTATAATAGGAGGACAGTTGTAAAATAGAATGGAGATACTGATTAAGATTAAAATTTAGATTCTCGGATTGAAAAAGCAGTTATTGAGACTTTGAATTTATACTTATTAGGAAATAGTAGAAAAGAATAATTAGAAGCATTATAAGAAAGAGAAGTAGCTAAAAAATAATCTGCTTTGAATTTGACTCTTGGGAAGACTGTCATAACAGAATAAAAATAAGTTGAAGATGAGAATGAATTAAATGAAGATGAATATGGTTATTATGTAACATTGAAATCTGATCATACTTCTATGGAGGTTAAAATACCTGCAACAATTAAAACTTTTAAAGAATTGAAATAGATTGTCAAATCTTGTCTCATGCTTGAAGAAAATGAAATATTTTGCACAGATCAGATGGGTAATCTATTTTAAGATGATATGAATTTATTAAATCAAATTTATCCTCCTCTTTATGATTTAATGAAAAATTATTAACCAATTATTGGAATTGAAGTAGTAAAGTAAGTTAAATTAAAAGAACTTATTTAAAGTGGAGATGAAAGTTTATTATCTGATGATGGAGCAAGATATTTTATTAAAAGATTAAAAACAACTAAACCTGTTTAAAAAAAAATAAATTGGAGTTTATATCTAGGCTATTTAAACAATTTTAAATATTTTATTGAAACTATTTTGTTTCTTATGGTTTTAGGATTATTTTTAGTTGTTCAAATTGATTAAGTTAAATTTACAACAAGTTCTTCTGTTTTAACTTCATTTGGAAAACAAATGTAAGTTTCTAAATCACTTATATCACCAATCAAAAATATTTCATAAATTATAAATTAAACACTTACATATAGTAATGATAATCATTAATATCCTTCATATCCTTTAGTAACTGGACTATTAATCTAAACATTAGTCAAATAAGTAATTATTAAATTGATCTAGGAAAAATTAGAAGATTGTTCTATTTTGAATAAGAATTAGAAATAAATGTTTATTGATAAAAATTAAAGTTGTTTAGATTTCTCCACTATTTTAATGGATAATTTAAATGAAGATTATTAATTTAATAGGTTTAATCCATCTATTTACAATGAATAATTTGGTGGATATGTATGGGAGTTGAATTTAGGATCTAAAGAAGAATTTAATTAAAATATTGAATTACTATTTTAATAGAATTGGGTTAAATATAATATTAAGTAATCTAAATTTATATTAAATTATTTCAATTCTCCTACGAATAGACTTATTTAAGTAGTTATTACAACTATTTACTTATTTAATGATGTAGCTACTTATATTAATTTAGATGTTATTAAATTATAATACAATTACCTTAGATTCATTTGATCTTAGCAAAACTTCAGAAACTGAAGATTTTTATGATGAAATTATATTTTATTTATCCATTCTACTATTATCATCATCATTACTAGGTAAGGACAATATAATAAATTATAGATTTCTTTGCAATATATTTAAAGACATCTGACAACTCTTTTATATTCTTATATCAATCCTATACTGATTTAAAAAACAAATAAAAAAAGTTATAATCTAGAAAAAAAGAATTGTCAAGTGTAGAATAATAAGAATTACAATAGAAAGAACTAATAATTGGAGATTATTTTATAATGAAAATATCTGTTGTTTATCTTGTAATTAAAATTCCTTTAATATTTGACTTTGTTTGTACAATTTAGAAATATATTAGATATATTATCAAATATTGCCATAATAATAAGAGGAACAATATAAGAAGTATATATGAATGCTTTAAACGATATTTAAATAAATTCAAAAGAATTTTAGGATGCATCTTAATTAATTGTTCCAGCATTTTTATTGAGAATATTTACAGGAGTTTTGATTATATTTTTGATGGCTTCAATAATTAGATTTTTAGGTAATTGGAGTCCATATCTAAAATGTTATGGATTAGTGATGATAAGAGTAAACTATTTGATCATCATATTAGTTCAATAAATAATCTTCATTTTTATTATTAGTTCTCATATTTATTATTAGTATCAGTGCAATGTCTTGGTCTATAACAATTTAAGGAAAGATAATAGGATAAGATAATTTCTTCTATGATTTCCTTGGTTTATTACGTTGTACTTTAAAATATGGTATGCATAATGACATAGGAGACTAAGGACTGGAAAATAATTATTAAAAAGAAATTAGTTATTCTTTTGAAACTAGATATGTATTAAAGATCTTTAAAATTAAGCTATAATATTTGATAGTTTTAGTTATAACTTTTATAATGATTCCAATATTCATCTCCTTAATGACTTAACAAGTACACAACACTAAAGTAGAAGCAAAATAAAAAATGATAGAGATGGAAAAAGAGAAAGAAGAAAATAAGTAAAAATAAAAATGAATTTTACTCTATATTTTAAAAGTATACATTAAAAGTCTACAAACATAATCTAAAAAAATACTATTTTTTTTCATAATTTTTTAAACAATATCTAATTTCATTCCCATACTATAATACCTTATTATACTTAAATCTAAGGATATTTATCAAATTAAATATGAGCATTTCTTTTATCCTTTTAAAATTCTTTTATCAAATACTATAATTAATTATTAAATAGAGTATTTATCATTTATTTATTATCTTTAAGTAAATTTAGAATTATTTTCTAAGCAATTTTTTTGTTACATAGACAAAAAAATTTAGTATTACCCGATGTTATATTCTTTGTAATAATTTATTCCAAACATTCTATATGATAATAATGAGAGCAACACAATTAAAATAAACTATATTTTGATAGTCTCATACAATTATTGCACCTTTAATATTAGGTTGATGATATAGTTTAAAACATTTCATCTTAATTCTCATTAGGAAGTGCAACTTCATAAATCGGTTCAAATTGCTTGAACCTCAGTTTTTTTTGGATACTATGAATCGTCTCAATTTCAGTTTTTACGGGTTGAACTATAAGGCTATCTACTAATTTGAGATACTACAACTTACTTTGTTGAGAAATGAAATTTCTTTATTCTTTTTGTAATTCATAAAGACTTATGTTTTAACTTATTTTCTAGAACCTATTTAGCCAATTAACTTTATATATCGATCGTTTTTCATAAGGTATGTCTATGACTTCTTATGTTTAAATATTAGAATTCAAGTTAATATCAGGAGTGTTTTATTCGAGTTGATGGCTATCAAGCTATCTCAAATTTTAATTAAAAATAATTAATGAATCCAAAGATGAGGTTTAAGGATTTTAATGGTTTAAAGGATTTAATCTATTGACCATTTATTTGGATCCTTGTTTGTTCTAACTATTCAATAGAATATTTGATGTAGATTTTTTTATATTGTTATTTTAATTTTCTCTTATAATTCTGGCTTGATGTTAATGATTTCTTTCTGAATAAAAACCTTGATTATTTTGATTATTGCTAAAAACCTATTTAAATAATAAATTGTTATTTTTACATTTAGATGTAGATTTACTTAACTACAATTGGGTTTCATTTTTGCTTCCTTTATTATAATTTTTTTTTTTTAAACCTCCTCTCCTTTTATAAATTTGTTATTTTAATTTTAATTGACAGGATTATTCTTAGATCTTGTTTGAAAATCTTTTAAGATATCAACTTTAATAATGGTTCTTTTTTATAAATCTATTTCATTATCGATCTACTCAAGTTTTTTATGATATTTTCTTTTCATTAATTGAAATAAATATATAATAATTTTTATCAAAGAAATAGCAAAATAAACCCATTATAAAAAGTACCTTAAAACCTTGAAACACAACTATTGTTTGATAAAACAAATAAACCCTTAAAATTAGACACAATAATGTCCTTTGACAGTTAATATTAAATACAAAAAATATTCTGGATAAATATTATAAGCAGAATAAACCAAGAATATTTTTAGTATGTCCTACTATAAATCTGAGTATATATTACATCTTTAATTTTTTTTAAAACATCATTATATAGAAATTTACACTAAGAAATAATGCTGTAAGAAATCCATGTTAAAATACAATTTTTAGAAATGCTAAATATGATAGTTTATTTGCAATTTTTGATGTGTTTTTTTTGCCAGATCTATTTTTTGCTCCAATACAATTTAATATTCTTCTTCCTAAACAACTATAAAAAATTAAAGTCAAAAAGGATTTTTGAGGAAATAGTCATTAAAATACAGCTATTATGGATGAAAATATGAAACATATTTCATATGGTGCTAATTTAATATAATCTAATTTGCTTTCAGTAGAGTTGAAACTTTGATAGTATATATTTTGGAAAGTATCAGAGACATCTATCTAAAACAATAATTTTCTTTTATTAAATTTAAATTAAAAAAAATGTCAGAAGAACAAGTTAATGAAAATAAAGAATCTCCTGAGATTTAAAAACCGGTTGATGTACAAGAGGATCCACCAGTTGAACCAAAAATAACTCAATCTACATATGGAAATGATGATGTACCTATTGGAAAATCTTAAAACAAATAAATGCTTGAAGAATTTCCACCTGAAGGTTTTGTTCCTAAAAAACCTGCACCTAAAAAGGCTACCAAAAAACCAGTTCCTCCTCCTGTTGAAAATGATGAACCTAAAGTTATAATTAACCCTGATGATATTCCTATTAAATAAGCAGGAGCAAATGTAATAGATGACCAACCTGTTGGAGGAGGCAAAAAATTTGCAATTAGTGAATATCCTGAAGGAATGGAAGGGGGAGGAGAAGATCTTTAATAGACTGTCCTCCCACTTGGTTAGCGTTTGAAGTCAAAAGCATGGAAATTAAGACAAAGTGCTTTTGAAGAAATGGCAGAACTCTTTCAAAAAGATGAATCTCTTGATGAATATTATGATGAATGGCCTAAATTAATCAATGATAATAATCCTGGAAGTTAAGAAAAAGCATTGATAGCCTTATAAATATTTATTGCAAAATGTAATAAAAGCTAATTTGCAGCTAGATTTGATGCTAAAGAGACTATTAGAATATTAATTGATAAATGTATTGCACCAGGAAAAAAACAAATAGTCAAACTTAGTTATGAACTTTTATTTGATATATTTGAAAGAAGAGATAAGTAAGAGATGTTTGATGTTATTAATGAAATGTTGAAAAATAAAGTGTAAAAAGTTTAATGTGCAGCAATTCAAAGTTTAGTTGAACTATTGCTTACATTTGGTCCAAAGAGATTAGATTATTTGAAACCTTTCTTTCCAGAAATCGAGAAATTATCATAATCTACAGTTTCTTCAATAAAAACTGAATGCATGAACTTTTATAAGGAAGCACATAAATGGTTAGGTGAACCAATATTGGCACCTTTTATTAAAGGATTAAAAAAATTGTAATTAGAAGAGTTAGAGAAATTCTAAAAAGAATGGCAACCTGTTCCTATGGTACCAACAAGAGGTGGAGATGCTGTAACAGTTGGATAAGGAGGTGGAAACAATAATGGATTAGATGTATATGATTTAGTTGATGCAGTTGATATATTCAATAAACATAATGAAAAATGGTGTGATAAAGTATTAGCCTAAACTAAATGGAATGAAAAATAAGTTTTATTAGATTAATTATTAAAAGAGGCAGCTACTCCTAAAATAGCTCCTGGTAATTATGTACCAATGATATCTATGATTAAAAAGTTATTAGTAGATTCTAATTAGGTAATAAATGTATGTGCTATTAAATTATGTGGAGCATTTGTTAAAGGTCTTAGAAAAAATTTTACTGCTTAAGCAAAACTCTTATTTCCTCTTTTAATAGTTAAATTGAGAGAAAAAAAAAATATTTGTTAAGAAGCTAGAGCTGCTATGGAATTATTTCATTACTCTTTATAAGTAGAAGATGTTGTTGAAGATTTTAAGGAAGGGTTAGCTGATAAAAATCCTTAAATGAGAGCATAATGTCTTTTATTATTTGCTAAACTTGTTTAATTGAAAGGATTCCCTTAAGGAGCACCTAAACCTAAATTTGTAGATTGTGTCAAATAATTATTGCCATTAGCAAAAAAATTAATTGAAGATAGTGTTCCAGAAGTAAGAGAGGCATCAGTACAAAGTTTAGGCACTCTTAAACCTTATTTGTCAGATTAATTAATTAATTCTTTTTATTCAGACATTGCATAATAAAAATTAAATAAAATCAATGAAATTTCAAGTCAAATTGAAGAAGAGAAAAAGAAAGAATAAATAAAAAAATAACCTTAATAAACTAAAGAATAATTATAATAAACTTCATAAATTTAGTAATCTAATATATAAAATAATTCAATTTAATAAGGAACTGCAAAGAAACCTCCACTTTCATAGAAAAGTAATATTGTAATTACTGAACAACCTGAATAAAGTGTAGATTAATTAGAAGGTTTATTAAGGAGTTATGGAATTGATGATTAATTTTTTGAAAATATAAATGGTATGGCTAAATTGAAAGCAGAAGCTATTAAAATGCTTGAAAATGAAACAGATGCCATGTAAAATCATTTTGAAGACATTTTAAATTTCTTAAGATTTAAATTAAAGGATTGGAAAGAAGCAAATCTTTCAATAAATAAAGAACTTTTTTCTATTTTAATCTATGCTAATAATTTAGATCCTAAACCTTTTACTCAAAAATCATTTTAACCTTTATGCAAATTATTGGTTGAAAAAATGACAGATTCTAAATTTAGAGAAGACATATATATAATTTTAAAGGGATGTTGTGAATGTGTAAATCCAAAATATATTGTTATATATTTGATTACTTAAGCTACTCCAAAGGATGACAAAGAAAGTGGTAAACCTACTATTATGCCTCCATAAAAGATTGGAGAAATAATTAATAATATATCGAAAATCATTGATATAGTTACTATTAAGAATGTCCCTACTAAAGAAATAATAGATTTTGGTAAAGAATAATTGCAATCAACAAATGCTGTTATCAAGACTTCTTGTGTAGAATTATTCAAAACAATTTATAAATATATTGGTTAAGAATTACTCTAATTTATATAAGATGTATAACCTCCAGTAATGAAAACCCTTAATTCTGAATTTGATAAAATATCAATATTAAGTTCTTATGAACCAATAATCACTTTTACAGGAGATGCAGCCAAAGAATGTGGAGTGATACAATCTCAACCATTATCTTAATCAATTATGTAATCTACAGTATCATCAATTAATGATAATTTACCTAGAGCTGACATTTCAAATTAGTTATAATCTGTCTTAAAGAAAATGGCTGATATTTAATGGAATAAAAGGAAGGAAGGAATGGAAGAATTAGATAAATTATTAACACACAATAATAATAGAATTTAAATAAATGGATTAAATGATTTAATCAACATGTTAAAATAAAGATTGAGTGATAATAATAAATAATTAGTTAGACCTATAGTATAAATTGTAGGAAGAGTTGCTGAAGCCTGTGGAAAAGATTTTAAATCATCAGGGAAATAATTAATATCACCTTTAATTTCTATTCTTAGTGATAAATAAGTATTAGTTAGATAGGATGTTGTTGCTAGTTTAGATAAATTTTGTATAGCCATAGGTATTGATTAAGTGATTTTGTAAATGCCTTCTTATTTATAGATGGAATCTATTGAATTGAAATAAGAAGTTTTATTATTTATTATGAAATATATTGAAGCATTACTTAAAATAGATTATAAACCATTTATTTTACCATTGATTAATTGTCTTTGTGATAGAGTAAAAGAAGTTAGATAGGCAGCAGAATAAGTTTGTGAACGAATGGTTGAAGATGTAGGAATTGATCCATTTTTAAATTAAATGAAAGATTTAAAACCAGCTGTTGTTTAATAAGTAAAATAATTCTTTTCTAAATTTGGAATGACAGAATTTGAAGACACTTCTAAAAGAACTGGTAAAACACCAAAGGGAAAACAATAATCATAAATCATTTAATAATAAGATATAAGAAATATGAAGAGAAATTTAACCATAAAAGATTTACAAAATGATTAAAATACATCTCAAGAACCTAAATAAAGAAATGAAATAACTCCAAATAAATCATTACATTAAAAATCTCATAAAACTTTACCTTAAGATAATACTCCATTAAGATAATAAAAAGAAAAGGCAATCTTCTAAGATAACAATAGTTTAATTGCAAAAAGTTCCAGTATTAAGGAATTGAAATAACTGAGATTACAATCAGATTAAATATAATCATGGGCTAATGATTGTTTTCCAATCAGTACATTTAGTGATCTCTATGTATGTTTAAAAGAGGATCTCTACAATAATCTGATGTCATATAATTATAAGGATGTTATGAAAGGTTTATAATAATTAATGACTGTTTGGAATGATCCTGAATAAAAATCAGATATAATTGAATTAAGTGATTTACTATTAAAATTTGTACTTGTTAAAATATATGGTTGTTCTGCCAATCAACTATTAATTAATGCCTTGATTAGTTTTTTAGATGCATTTTTTTAAACAATCTCAAAATAAAGATATATCTTAAATGAAGTAGAATAAATTGTAACAATATCCTTATTAAGAGAATTGATCTATGCTGGAGTTGATGTACATCCAGAATTAATATTCAATCTTTAATGTGTATTCCCAGTAGAAATTATGATTAAAAAACTTTTATAATTGTTTAGAATCAATCCTTAAGGCTTACATCCATTTTTAATTGATTAAAAAGATAGAATTGATACTTAATTATCCAATCTAATCATCTAAGGTTAATTAGTCAAATTTTTTCCTCTAGATCTATTCACAGAATATTCATAATATATCACTAAAGAATTACAAAATGAACTCATAGCCTTATTTGGAGAAAATACTATCAGACTATAGAATAAATAATATTAGTCGTATTAATAATAATAATAATAATAATAATAATAATAATAATAATAATAATAATAACAATAATAACAATAATAATAACAATATTAAACAGGAAAATAACCAATTGTTTAGGGAACTATTTAATTATAATCAGTTAAAGATCCAAGATCACAATACTTTTTGTAAATTTTAGATTCTCTTCTAAGTTAATAAACATCATAAAATATAGAATCTTTAATGTAAATTAGTGATTTACTTACATAAAATATTTAATAAAATTAATAATTGTTTGTTGATAATGCAGAGGCAATCTGCAAATGTTTTCAAACTCTATTATAGAATACTTTTACTTAAAGATAAATATACCCTGCT